AAAAAAGTGACACTGTTAAGAGAGAGACCTTTGCATTGCACCTTTTTAGAGCATGAAGAGAGAGAGAGAGCATGAAAACCTTCTACGCTTAGCCTGATGGCAAAGTGACTCTAGCCTATGATCCGTCTACCACTAAAGATATTTTACGTCAGCACTGCGGTCGGTGCGAGCCGAATGCGGAATTCGAATCAACGAGTCATCGCTGGGATTCACACCCGGTTCGCATCATTGGAAGATAAACACTCTATCTCCTGAGCCACCACAGCTCTACACCGCGATATTTTATTTTATTTTATAACCGTCGTTGAACTGCCGACCCAATTTAGGGTTTACGACTACTAAAGTTCAACTCCGTAGCCTTGTAATTTTGAGCCCTATCCGAAAGACAAAGGAACTCTTGGATCAATTATTGGGGGAAACTTGCCTTCGTGGAGGACTTTTTGATGGAGCTAACCCGCATTTGTGTTTCATTGAGAAGAAAACCACGAAGACCCACTGTTAGCCTGAAGCGAAGGTACTGTAAACCACGATCTACACCACGATATTGAAATCGACCCAGCCTTATGTTGGATGGATCTAATTTTTACAAGCTGCTCATCGAAGCAAGTGAAGTGAAGTTTTTCCACCAACGCCACACACCAACACTTCTTCTTTCTTTCCTTTTTTTTCTTACAGGTAGTTTTCGTTGAATATATTTTCATATTATTTAAAAGACAATTGGTATTTATAACAAAACAGATTGATCTTTGTAAAATATAGTTGTTATATAAGCAGTAGTTAATGTCAAAAAATATTCCACTCAAAATGTTGTCAGCATGAGTTGAAAAATACATCATTATTCAATGTGAAATGGTTTATCATATATGGTTTATTATAACTTATTCTATAATGAAATAAAGGATGAAGCTCCATTATTAATAGCAAACATTACTTAATAGGTTACTAGTCTAGTTATGGTAAATAAATACGTCGCATCATCAAATGATGGGTGTTGTTGGTTCAACAATACCAAACATACTTTGATGGTTGACCATCGTAATACTTTAAAAAAAAATTCGATCTGGAAATGATGGAATTTGTTGGTCAAAGAATTTTTAAAGTATGTTGATTGGCCATCATATAGTAAAATATCATGTTCCAACATGAAATGTTGTAAGTTTGTTGTCCTACCAAAATCCATTACCACATGAGGGGAATTGTTGGATGAGAGTTACTATCAAATATAAATAAGTGATCAATAAAATATATCAGTGTTGTTCCCACAGAAAACCAACATAAACCAGCATAAAATATCTTGATGGCCCCATCAAGAATTTCTTCCTGGGTAATCAGAAAAACATACAATTAAAAGAGAGGAGTTAAAAAATTGCTATTTCCAAAGATTTGATAAATAAGGTGCAGTGATAGTATCATCAACTATTGAATTTTTGCTTTTAATGATTAGAAAAGACTCGCAGAAATCCAGATCGTTGCATGATGGAAATTTCAATTTTTTACCTGATTTTTATGTTTTTTCCGATGAAATTTGAGTGTACGTTTTGTTTATTCACTGTACGCAAGACCACATTCACATAAAATGTTTTAAATGCCTTAGGTGTTTAAACAATTAATGTGTTGTTTTAAGTTCGAGATCTCTATTTTGTCTGGATCGATATATATTACTTGGGGTCTTCACAATCTTTAATCCACAATCTTTAATCTTTGGATTAAAGATTGTGTTGCATTAATCTTTGGAGAGAAAAAAGCTATCACAAAAAAAAAGTGTTCGGATTTAACACAATTTGTTTTCTTCTATCTGAAGGTGGAATTTCGTGATTAAAATTGTAATTTTTCCATCTAGCTAGAGCATTTAAATCTCTATTTGTGCTCCCTGCCATGACAGTCTAAGTTTCCTCATCACAAGAAGAACTTATAAAGAAATTTTATCAGCAAATATAATTTATTGTCAATCAGAATTTCCCCTACTTTCTGGCTAATGAGAATGCTCGAATTTTAACAAAATTCGTATGATTATACCATTATTTACTTTTTTAAAATAGTTCAGGCAAACCTTATCCTCATTCATTATTGAAATTATATTATTCATTATTCCTAATTTATTATTATTTAACATTCAAGCAAAGTTACAAGTTTACCCACTTATGAATATAAATAAAATTCAAAACTAGAAAAATAATTGAAGAAAATAAAGTTTTTTAGGTAGATTATATAACTACGTTTTTTTTTTAAGTAGACAAGAAAAAATAATCGGAGATAATAGTTTTATTTTTGCCAGACTTGAAATAGAAAATCTAGGGTTTGTTGCAGGGCTCGAAAAAACTCAGAAATTTTACCCGTCCCCGAGGACGGCTTGTCCAACAATGCACCCGTCCTCCGTTGAAACTAACCCGTCGCTTTTTAATAAATAAAAATATAATTTTTTCCTATTTATTACAAACATTTATATAAATTGCACAATAAATTAGTCGTTACTAGGATTACATTATATAGTAATAAAAGAAATACTAGGTTAGCAATAGTAACCTAGTATTTCTTTTATGAAATAATTTAAATGACAAGGGTCAAGTTATCTGGAATGTCAAGTTATCCGAGGGTACTGCTTTTTTTAAATGAATCAAATATGACGTTTGCCAGTTCCACAATGAAGCCAATGATTTACAGAGGTTTCTGAACAGAAATCTGAAAGGGGTTTTCCATTTAGGTAGATGTTCATAATTGCTTTTAAAGCTTCTTGTTTAAGACCAGTACGTATTGTGTTTTTTTGTAAATTTATTGCTGCAAAGCCCCTTTCAACCGCTGCAGTACTCCCAGACAGAGAAAACATCAATATATGCACTGTATGTTGCTGTATTGTGGGTCATTTTGCTGCATTGTAACTTACAAGACTCTTGTAAGATAACAAAAATTGAAAATGTATCACGAACATTAACGGGAAAATGGCCGTCCGCGCAGACGTCGGATTCGAGAAATTCGTTGTCGGCGGAGAATTTTTGACCGTCGAGGACGGGCGGACGGGCTGTTTTTCGAGCCCTGGTTTGTTGCTTTCGAAAAATATTGTATTACTCCCACGTTTTCGTAAGTAATACGCCCTATACGCTTCTCGTTGTAAATTTGTCTAAAACAAAATGATTTTTTCTTTTAGTCTACTTGAAAAACTGTGTTTTGGTTTAGTTTATAAGTAACCTACGTTTGCCGTTTGTTCGAAATGCAGTCGCGATTCTAAATCTTAGGTAGTCAGAGAAGAAAAGAGTAAAATAATGATGCCTAGACGAATGCTGTTTGTTTCTTATGTTAACGTTAAATCAAATAAAACTAAAAGCAGGTCAATAAAGCTAATAGCTTATAGATTAAAAATGTCTTATGTATAGAAATTAAAAATTTTTGATTAAAACGAGACTTACATTAATTTATTTTTGCACAAAACAATAAATCTTTAAACGACATGCACTTTTGACTGCATTTTATTTTATTTTACTTTTTCTTCTAGGCTGTATTAGACAGATTGAAGCTAGTTGATCCAAGTATTATCCTCTCAGTAGATCGTATGAAATATAATCAAGAAGAAATTGGAATGATGCCTAAATTAAAAGAAATTTCTGAAGGTTAGTTTTAATAATATTATTGCCATCCGATGGCTCATAACATTACATTACATAAGATTACATTACACCACATCACGTAACATAACACAACACAACACGACACGACACGACAATACATAACATAACATAACATAATATAACATTAGAGATCTGGTTGTAGCCGCACATCGATGTCTTTATAGTTGTTTGAAAATTGCTATTAGTTTAGTTTAATCTATTATGATAAAAAATATTGCTGTATGAGTAAATTCTATGTGAGTTAGTAAAATACATTACTTAACATATCATTCAACATGTTCTTTCATCCTACTGACACAGTAACAGATTTTAACTATTAATTAGGGACAGTTGTTTATAAGTGCGCTGCTATGGAAACAGCATCATTACTAAATATTTGAAAAATAGAGGTGAACGAAATGTTAAGAAAAAATTAGAATGCCTCACTAAAGCTCGCTAAGCTCACAGTTTAAATACTAAAGTAAAAAAAAAACCACTAGCTTACTTAAATAATCCACAAAAAAAAAGTGACACTGTTAATTTCTGAACATAATTACTCTTTTTCTTATCCATCGAAACGGCATTTCAAAACAATGTATTTTATGAAACTTTGTAATAAATATTTTAGTTTCAACACTGTTCTTAACGCCTTTTTTAAACACATAAATTTTTTATTCTCTTACTGTGTAATATTATTCTTTATATGAATTTATCTTAAAATCTAATATATATAATTCTCTTACGTAGCTCCCAAATTTTGGCTGTATTTCCTTTCCGCCGGTGACAACGTTTGCTTTGTTTTGTTTACGTTACTATTTCGCTTACACGGCGACAAAAAAATGCCTCATTACAGCTTCCCGAATGGCAGCGCTAGAAAATCGACCAATGATTGCCGCTAAAAATGTCACATGCCAAATCTAGCTGAGGTGGCTCAACATATAACGCTTATAAAACGGAAACTGAAATAACCAGAGAGCATCAGCTGCGGCAATCTCATACTATTAAGCTAGGCAGAAGTGAGTAGTCTTTGTCGATTGATCTCTATTTAGTGGATTATATGGATTTGAATGATTGTTTTGAATTCTTAGAATTTTGTGCACTTGCAATGTACCTAAGGCAGTAGCGAGTGAAGCGAGGTTGGTTTGCGAAGCAAACCATATCAGATTGCATAGAAATTTTTGGAGGTTGGAGAGCGTTAGCGAGCAGGGGGCACAGCCCACTAGTTTATAAAAATAATCCAAAGGTTGGACTCAAACTACAGCTAGACGTACAAAATTTATATGTTTGTGTACTCACATTTAAGACTTAGATCAGTATTGTCTCAAAGTCTGGGTCTATATATCAAGAAAAACGTTATAACAGCAATTTTTTTGTCTAGTAATTAAAAAGTAAACTAATTGACCATCAAAAATCTATTTTAACTACCAATCAAACGTGTTACATGAGTGCAAAAACTGGTTTAAACTTTTTAGCGTAAAAAACTCATTTATATGGTTTTACTGATAGTTCCATTAAGCTGCATCATTTTTAAATTTCTTTTTTGCTTTAAAATATTTTGCTTATTTATTTTCCATTTTGATCCGTGAATTTTTCAGCTTAAATAAATTTATAACAGCTAAAGTTTTTATTTTTCAATTTGGCAAAAAGGAAAAAAAAAATCCTTACAAATACAATTGAATCATAATAGAAAGTTTTACTACGTAACACATTGAGAATTATTTACAGCAAATAAGTGAAAAAGTTAATTTTTAATTAAGATGCTAATTTGTTTTATTATCTATCAATAACGCCATCAAGAAAATTGTTTTTTTTTTATTAAAAATGTTAGAATATGTTGAACTGAACATTTTAATAACCACGATATTCATTTCGTGAAATATAAAAATCACCTCCTAAATGCCCAAGATCTGAAAAGAAGAATATGTAAGAGTCAAAACTTGAGTTTATTGAAATCTTGATATTATTAAATGCATCGTAGTGAATCTCGAAATACTCGAAACTCTACTTATTTAAAAAAGAGGACCAACTGGTCACCAGAGGTGGCTACTATAAAATAAAGACGAGTTTCATGTTTTGCACAACTTACAATTAATTGCATTAGATTGATTGAGTCATATTAATCTAGACCGAAATTAAAAATTGAAAATTAGAAAGAAATTCCGAACAGCCTATGAAAACATGCAGAGTCGTTTTCTTAAAAATTGTGTTCTTCCTTTACTTTATAATATTTTTAAATGAAATTATGCAAATTAGGACAATGTTTTAGCCTGCAAATTATTTTTCAAATTGTTAGTTACTAGGTTACTTTTTTAATGGTTGTGAAACAAATATTTAAATTTAAGTTGCTTGGAACTTTTCTGTTTATAGAAACAAATAAGCTATTTCTTTTTAAAGCTATCAGCTATTTCAGCTGATTAACTTTTTATTAAATTTTTTTTATCATCAAAGTTTGCAAGAATGTGAAAGGGTAATAAAAAATATCTTTTCATGCGAGGAAAAATCCTTAATTGAAAGAAACCCAAACTGATTTTTTCTGCGATTCACAAAATTTCTCAGAAACATAAACTACATTTTTCTTACAAATTATTACAAATTACAATATCAAAAGGTTTATACAGCAACAAAATGAAATATTGTGAATTATTAAATTAATTGAAAGCTATTACATTCAACTCTAAACTCTTAACTCGCTGCTTTTTTAATGGACTATTTGTTTGAAAACTATTTTACTTAAATTCTAAAAATTATTAAAAATAATTTCAATTATTATTCACATGTAGGTTTACCAAGTTTGACGAAATTAATTATTGTTCCTTCAAAGCCTGATTCTATAAAAAAAGACATAGCTGGCATTCCCAAAAGGTTAGTACGTTCTAATTAATGTTTTATTCGAACTAAGGTTAATGAAAGTTGATATTTTAATAAAGTTGATATGATTGTTATTACTTGTTATTAATTTAACTAAGGGTTAGGTATAATTAATATTTTTAATTAATTTTTATTAATGTTCACAGCATTTTAATTAATATTAAATAGTTTTAAATTTTGGTTTTAATTAAATTACTAAAATAAACTGATGCTTTATAATATAAAATAAGTATTTTATATTAAAGTGGAATATCATCACAAGTGTCATCTCTTAAAAAAATTCAATAAAGAGAACAACATCAAGTTAAACGGTTCAATTTCATTTTAATATAAGACATTTTTGGATAAAAGTGCCTAATTTTAAAAAGCTGATCATTTTCTAAATTCTAAGCTCTTCATTTTCTAAATCTAAATTTTTCTAATTATAGCTGCTTTTTAGAAGAATTTTTAAATTTTGGACGAGAGAAGGATGGCACAGTTCCAGAAATAGTGTTCGAACAAATGTCTTTTTCCGATCCTATAATAATAGGTTACACATCTGGAACAACTGGCCCTCCCAAAGCCCTAGTTCACGATCACGGAGTAAGTTATTTGTTAACTATCACGGGGTAAGTTATCTGTTCACGATCACTGGATAAGTTATCTGTGGTATTCGATGACCTAAACATTAACATTAAAATTCTTACCTTTCTATTTAGCTCATTACACTGAGGAACAAATTTTTCGTTGCATTCATACAAATATACGATCTTGCCTAGTTCGGGTGTGAGGATTTCAAATCTAAATTTGTTTTGATTCTAATGCTGTATTTTTTTTAGCAAAAGTTGCGACAGACGTCTAGGTCACATCATAAGGAATAAAATTGTATAAGAACTCAGGCTTGGAATTGTCGACGTACGTGGATAGGGCCGCTTCTCTACTAAGAACTGTTTCTAAACACACGAAGAAATAGTTCATAACACGGAGCGCTCCTAGCGGCGTATGTATGCAATTTTGCGTATATTCCATGCAATTTTGATCTTGATGATCTCCAAGGAGTTTGCCGCTATATTTATGCTACCCCCTGTTATATATATCGTTTTTTAACTTGTGCATTTTGACAAAAATTAGCCTACTATTGTAATTCTTTTTTGTTGAAAAAATCTCCAGCTTGGAGAGAAGAACTGATTCCAAATTTTGAATCAACAGTACGAAAGATCTATTAAAACATTTCATGCAACAGGAAACGACAAGAAATGTTTCCAAGTTTCGTATATTAATGAAAAAGGCCGACCGGACTGTGTAGTGGTCAGGAGGCTGATCTCATATCAGAAAGGTCTTAGGTTAGAGTCCCGGACAAGGCATGGATGTTCTTTCATTCCCTGCATTATCTGTCCTTACTGTGGGAGCAACTACCTAATATGGTGCCCCTGAAAGATTAGTCAACAAATCTGCCCAACTGGTATTTGAATGATGGTGTCGATCAGGTGGGCATTGGAAAAAAAAATATATGAAAAAAAGAAAGAGTTTGAACTTGTATGCCTCTCTCATAACTCTAGGACCATTTGTGGAAATTCGAAAATGGCTGCAAGGGGAAATTTTAGCCACGAGTTCAAAAATTGTTCAAAAATTTTAATTAGTTTGTTCGGAAGAGTCTTTTTTAAAAAATGAATTGCGTTGTCACAAATGTATTGCTATAAATTGAACTGCAGATGCCTTTTTATTTTAATTATTTGAAAGCTAATATCAAAGACGTGTGCCAGCTTTTAGCTGCGTTTAATCATAAGTGGAGTTTATTGCATGTTAAAAAACCTTAAATTATAATGACAGAAAATTGGAATTATTTTAACTCATTAATTGATTTAAAAGATTTTGTGTCGGTGTGTGGCTTTTGGGTTCGTGCATGCTTTTGTAGTTTTTATAAATGCCGATTTTTTTAAATTCTTTTTTATTTCTTTCACCCCATATGTAGAATGGATATTCATCAATAAAAATTTAATACAATTATAATATAATCATAATAATAATTTTATCGGTCAAAACATTGTATTAAATTTATAAATTAAAACACAACAATAAAAACATTACGTTAATCTAAAAGGGAAGACGCAACAATAAGATCAATCAAGACATTATATTAATTTCAAATAGAAGACACATCAATATAGACATTACACTAATCTAAAAGGAAGACACATAAAAAAAAGCATTACGTTATTATAAAATGAAAACGAAATTAACGTATCAATCGAAATATATAATGTTTTTATAAAAGAAAATATAATGTTTATATAAAAGAAAACATAATAACATTATTATGTTTTCATTGCATTATAAATTTATAAATTGTCAAAACATTATAAATTTATAAATTAAAACACAACAATAAAACGTTACGTTAATCTAAAAGGGAAGACGCAACAATAACATCGATCAAGACGTTACATTAATTTCAAAAGGAAGACACATAAATAAAAGCATTACACTAATCTAAAAAGAAGATATATAAATAAAAACATTACAAAATGAGAACGAAATTAACGTATCAATGGAAATATATAATGTTTTTATAAAAGAAAATATAATACTTATATAAAAGAAAACATAATAACATTATTATGGTTTCATTACATTATAAATTGTCAAAACATTATAAATTTATAAATTAAAACACAACAATAAAAACATTACGTTGATCTAAAAGGGAAGACGCAACAATAGGATCAATCAAGACATTATATTAATTTCAAATAGAAGACACATCAATAAAGACATTACACTAATCTAAAAGGAAGACACATAAAAAAAAAGCATTACGTTATTATAAAATGAAAACGAAATTAACGTATCAATGGAAATATATAATGCTTTTATAAAAGAAAACATAATAATAAATACTAAAACTGAATTAGAACTTTTCAAATTTTATAATATAATTCATCATTTACGGTTCGATTTCTAACATGTTTTGTCAATATAATTTCATTATTTTAAGTTTAAATTAATTTAATTAAGACATAAGAACTGTAACTAAATTTAGATGAATTTATTAGTCTTTATGGTTTTACTGTAATTAATTTGGATTAATTTATTATCTGCATTAATTTTTTTAACACAGTTTCTTTTCTTTTAGTGTCTTGTAACTTCTGCGAGGGAACAATGCCTCTTAGGTGATTTCAGTAGACATGGTGTCAGCCTTTCCCTTTCTCCAGTAAGTCTACTAAGAACCACGGCAGAAAAACTAATTTTTTTAATTTCATTTTTATAAATTTATTCTATATCTATTCGTATTTTCATTGCTTTTTCATTTGGAATTATTTTATTGACTTACATTTTTACAGCTTAAAACACGTAAATGTTGAATCGTACGAAAAATGCTAAAAAAAAACTATGGTGCAGCTTAACACATAATTTTGTATCAGCGTTTTTATATGATTATATTTTATATGATTAGTTTTTATATGATTATCACAGACCTATTTCTATTGAATAATGCATTTCATGATTTCTATAGGGATGACTAATTTTTTTTAAAAAACCAAATGAGTTTTGCAATATATTTTTGATAGAATGCGCAAATCTGCCAAAACTTGTTAAAATAAAGTTCACCTTGATCCAATTTTAATGCGCAAACATTAACAAATTATTCAAATTTTAACGCATAAATAAATATGTATTGAAAAATAATTTTTTTTCAAGGCATCAGCAATTGATCTTTATTATTTATTCTAGGCTGGATGGGCAACATGGTTTATGGGTGTTTTTACATTTTATAGTGGAAGCACTAATATCCTGTATGATGGAGTACCATTCTTTCTTTCACCAACTCACATATGGGATTTGGTAGACGAGTATAAGCTAACTAGTCTCTTAATAACTCCAAGTATACTAGATGACCTGGAAAAGAAAGGATACTTGCCAAGTAAATTCTTTTTCATAATACCATCAACTGGAGGTACTTTGAGCCACATTTACGAGTTTTCGCTTAATTATTCCTCATAAATTATGATAAATGGAAAAAATACCCAAATGTCTTTTTGTTCAGTACAAAAAGTAATAATTTTTATTTTGTGATGGACCAAAGTATCCCCGGTAGACGGTAGGGGAGACTGGGGTCAATTGTAACAGGGTACGATTGTAACAGAGCAAAAATTTCGAGTGTCGGGTTCAAGATTTGGTTCCTAGGTGGCGCACAAGGTGTATTTAATAAATCTGCATGTACACCCCTGCTGGCAACCATTTTTATGCACTTTTGAAAGAGTTACATCACAAAAGATATTTTCACACTACGTAAGTTCTTTTTTTGGTATTAGAATATTATATAGTAACAAAGTAATTTTGTTTATACAAATAAAAATTATTAACCGAATATGTAAGTGGACACCTTAATTAACATTTCAATAAAAAAAAGATTAGTTTTGCTAATTAACTAGCATTGTTTTTAACAAATGAAGCTGAAATGGCGTCTTGGGGACAATTGTAACAATAAGTAAAGGGACGATTGTAACAGCTGAAAATAAATAATCTTATGTTTACAAACCATTACTTAACTCTTTAAGAACCACCAATAGTTTCCTATATCATTTATATTATGTTGCATGTGCATTATTTTATTTGTCACCTTTCACAGCATAAATTAAAATTTTTAACCCCTTAAAGTTAAAAGTTTAACCCTTTAGGTCTCTGCTCATTATTATTTTTACTCCTAAAATATCACTACTATTTTGATCAATAAAAAAATATATCACAACTATGATAATATGTATAATTAACTATGTTTTAGTTGAATTTATGAACTGTTACAATTGACCCCGTAAGTGGGGACAATTGTAACAAGTGCACGACTGTCAAAAATTGTTAATAACTAATATAATAACATTTAAAATAAGGTATTTATTTTTTTTCTAGTAGAGGATAGTCTACTTTACTCGTCGGTCAATTAATACTAATAATATATTGGATTTTTTGCTAGTTAAAAATAGTTAAGTAAAAAATGTTACAATTGACCCCACTCTCCCCTAGCAATCAATAATATTGCATGTTCTATGTGTAATATCACTTTATTTTTATTCATTTACTTAAATATTTGTAATCAATATTAGTATGAATACTACAGATGACCAAACAAATGATGTAACTATTAGAGGATATAAAAATTAATGAATTTATATGAATACCTCATTTGAATAGTGAGCAAACTTCATTTTTGCTCATTTTGAGATTTTAAAGTTCAATTAGTGCAATATGTTTCCTACATTGCCTAATAGGTGGGGCCCTCTGTTTGGCAGCAGAAATAAATAGGAGGTGTACCAGTTTTAAAAAACGAGACAGAAAGGACTTTCATAAATATGAATGTGCGCGTTAGTAAACGGAGATGGTCCGTTAATCAAATAAGGCCTTAAAATCTTCTGCGCAACTGGGACCAGCTAAGAATTTATTCAGATTTATGAGAGAAGAATGGGCAAGCAGCAAATAGCTCTTTTTTTCAAAATTATGAATTTCTCATAAATTTATTCAAAAATTTTCAATCTATAGATAGATTATTATGAAATTGCTATTCAAAATTTCAAGTTTGAATCCTCCATATGATAAGTCAGGAGAATTGAATAACAAAATGCAATAATAACGTCCTACTTTAACTCAATACGACCCTCTCAATTTAGACTTTCAGAAAAATTGAATAAATTCTGCCACGTTTTTATTTAAGTTAAACTTTAGAATCGTATATTCAAGTTCAAAAAGAATAATTTTTCATGATGATATAGTTCATCTTAGCATCTTATTAAGGTTGCAGTAAATTTGAATGATATTACGGTTCAACGCGTTTCAAAATTTCGAATCCATAGTGTAATCCAAAAATTTCTAAATAATTGACTGATCAATTAAAGAAAAATGGAAGAATTTGTATAATTTGGTGCATTCTTTTCTGCAAACGAAGTATTTTGCAACACAGATTCAAAAATAATTTCTAAGTTTATCAGCAGATGGTACTTGTTGTTGTTGCGTATAGGAAGAGGCTGTGTTTAGGAAGAGGTGTGCGATTGTTCTTGTTTTACAGTGGCGCCATCTATGGCCTAGAATTTGACTTCTGTCACCCCCATTCGTCGCACCCGTTTATAGGATGAACCCATTCATACATACATTCATCCACAGATCGTAATTTTGACCTGAATCAGAGAACGATCAATCTCCAATCCAGTACCCCCAGAGGTATGACTTGTTATGGGAACATGGGGGACTTTGCTACTTGACAGATTTAACGTGCATCGGTCACCTTTCACTAGACGGGGATTCTTCGGCTGGTTGGTTTCGAACCCAAGAACTCTCGGACATGGGCCCAGCTCCCTACTGAACAGACTATGCCGGCCTAGTAGATGGTACTTTTGGCAGGAAATAACTATAAAACTTTTTTTCCCTTCAAAATAACAACTATTTGTACACCAACATTAGCACGGTGCAATTTGTGAACAAAATTAACAAACCATCGTGCTAATATTTCAATTGGTATGATCTGTTTTATTGTTTTTTTATCAGCAACGTCATGTTTTGACAAATTTTGTTACAAACTTTGAAATTTAATAAGGATAAATAACCTTGTTTCCTCATTAAAATGCAGCAAACTGAACATTTCTATCGCTTTCCGTTGCTCTTTAATTCATTTTTCAAATTGACCGTCAGTGTTTTGACACACTCGGAAAGTATGATCAATGTATAAAGAAACGATGTCATTTTGGACATCTTGTGCCGCAAAAAAAAAAAAAAAAAATCTCCAAATCAGAATTTCTCGAGATGCATTTTCTATATAGTTAAATGGAATTTAAAAGAAATGCATGTCACACTGTTAGAATTTTAATTCGAAAACTATGATTAAATAACCGGCAGAAGTCTGCCCATCCTATTAACCGTTAAGTTTACAGCAAATAACATTTTTTACCGTTACGGGTTTGAAACCGTTTACAACTAGTATGGTCATTAAACCATGAATACAAAACTATACGGTTTTTCAACCATGGTTGGTTGGTTAGTGTCATATCCTCTATTGAATCATATCTCATGGTGTGCTTGAATAGTCTGCAAGGTAGTTTAAGAGGTGGAGGCCTGAAGCGACTGCAGGGCAGTTAAAAACACGATATGGTGTGTGTTTCACATTAAAACTATACGGCTTTTTAACCATTGTTGGTTGGTTAGTGTCACATCCTCTATTGAATTATATCTCGTGGTGTGCTTGAATAGTCTGCAAGGTAGTTTAAGAGGTGGAGGCCTGAAGCGACTGCAGGGCAGTTAAAAACACGATATGGTGTGTGATCACATTAAAACTATACGGCTTTTTAACTATTGTTGGTTGGTTAGTGTCGCATCCTCTATTGAATTATATCTCGTGGTGTGCTTGAATAGTCTGCAAGGTAGTTTAAGGGGTGGAGGCCTGAAGCGACTGCAGGGCAGTTAAAAACACGATATGGTGTGTGTTTCACATTAAAACTATACGGTTTTTTAACCATTGTTGGTTGGTTAGTGTCGCATCCTCTATTGAATCATATCTCATGGTGTGCTTGAATAGTCTGCAAGGTAGTTTAAGAGGTGGAGGCCTGAAGCGACTGCAGGGCAGTTAAAAACCCGATATGGTGTGTGTTTCACATTAAAACTATACGGCTTTTTAACCATGGTTGGTTGGTTAGTGTCGCATCCTCTATTGAATCATATCTCATGGTGTGCTTGAATAGTCTGCAAGGTAGTTTAAGAGGTGAAGGCCTGAAACGACTGCAGGGCAGTTAAAAACATGATATGGTGTGAGTTTCACATTAAGACAGTTGCCACAGTTTTGATATTTTCTAGTCCCATCTGCAGAGATTTTCATGTTTTTATGATGTTTTGTTCTTAGTCTGATGAGAGTAGTGGCTGCCTTGCTGTCTATGTCATGTAACCATGGTTTCAAAGCCGTAAATTAAACTGAACATGTTTGCTAGCCTTTTTGTTAGTTTATGGACATTGGTAAGTGCAGAACGCCGGAAACTCTTCACGTGTTAAGGGAATGGAGGAAATATTGTGGTGTCAAAGCTGGGACTCGAATCCCTGTTCTGTAGATAGTGAGACTGACAGATTAGCCTTCTCGGCTATAATACTTACTCAGGTGTAAAGAACTGAGTGGCTTCTTTAAGTGGGCTTAGTTGGTGCGAAAAAATTGTGGTTGTTTAACCATATTAGTTGAAAGCTGTTAATAAACGGTTATTCTCACTGTTAACAGGTTGATTACTATCTTATATATGGGGCAATCCATACAAAATTTACACCTATGATACAAAAATGATATAATTTTTTTTATTGTTCTTTATTGAAAATAAATCGACGCGTATTTTTGCGTTTTTGTTTAAATTCCATATTTTTGACTATACGAATTTTTGAAAATTTCGCTTTTTTGAGCACACGACTTTGCAAGTTATTTTTTAACGTATTGCCATCCAACAACAAAAATATTTAAATACACTTTCTTGAAGTGATTTTTCTCAAACTTTAAGAAAATCAACATTAAAATATAAAATTTTTTGTTTTTGACATAAAAAAATTCATTTTTTGAAAAAAACAACTTTTTTTTGCAATTTGGACATCTTTGATTTTTTTTATATTTCGACAGTGTGAAGTATAATCAATAATGATATTAATTCCAAATTTTTGGAATGGTAAGACACTTTGTTCGAAAGATATAAACAAAACAGTGACGGCGCGCACGCCGCGCTCTAGTTTAGTAGGTAGCGGATGAGTTCGAGAACAGTTGAGCCATATTCTACATACATACGCGGAGTGTGCGCCGTCACTGTTTTGTTTATATCTTTCGAACAAAGTGTCTTACCATTCCAAAAGTTTGGAATTAATATCATCATTGATTATACTTCACACTGTCGAAATATAAAAAAATCAAAGATGTCCCAATTGCAAAAAAAAGTTGCTTTTTTCAAAAAATGAATTTTTTTATGTCAAAAACAAAAAATTTTATATTTTAATGTTGATTTTCTTAAAGTTTGAAAGAAATCACTTCAAGAAAGTGTATTTAAATATTTTTGTTGTTGGATGGCAATACGTTAAAAAATAACTTGCAAAGTCGTGTGCTCAAAAAAGCGAAATTTTCAAAAATTCGTATAGTCAAAAATATGGAATTTAAACAAAAACGCAAAAATACGTGTCGATTTATTTTCAATATAGAACAATAAAAAAAAAATATATCATTTTTGTATCATAGGTGTAAATTTTGTATGGATCGCCCCATATGGTTATTTGACTGTTTTGTTTGAATATGGTAAAATAACAATTAAATAAATTGTTATTTAACAATTTTTTTCTAAGAAATTTCTAACAGTGCATGCGACCAATTTTCTCACACAAATACATAACTAAAAAGACGGAAACCGCTTTTTTATTATTCCAACACTCACCAGAAAAATTGGTTCACCGTTTAATTGGTTCAAACATAATGCAATTTTTCTGCAGCATGTCACTAGTCAAGTTACACAATGCTCAGCAAAAGAAGAAAAAAAAAAAAAGAAAAAAAAATAATAAACNAAAAAAAAAAAAAAAAAAAAAAAAAATAATAATTTACTTACTGTAAAATTTACAGCAAAATTTTATATCGCAAATTTTTATAGTAGTATTGAAGTGATTCATTAAATATTAGTAAGTATTTTTGTTCCGAAACATTTTATGGTAAAAAGGAATTTTACCGTAAAAAGTACCGATACTCAGGGTGTCGTTATTTTTTTACTGAATTTTATCCAGGATTTTTTTACAATGTAGTTTCATTGAATCATGTAATCAAATTCAAGAAGTACGATAAAATCGATCAGATTAGCTCTATATTAAGGATGCCACAAATTTGTACGAAATTATTCTTTAATACATCCTAAAACTTCTAAAGATGAATTCTTATTTAACAAGCATGGTGTTTGAGAGTTTTATAAATTCGCACGTTGATTTAAATTTCTGATTTCATTGATTGAAATTTTTTCATTATTTGAAAAAAAAATATCTACATTACTTGGAATTAAAAATTAGTTTTTCTCTTAAATAGAAATAAAAAGGTTCTTTCTCTATTTTCAGCTGATAAACACAAGCTTACTTCACTCTTTGCTATATTTTCTGGATCAAGCATTGTCAAACCGCGAAACTACGATTTTGTTTGCAAAAAAATTAAACCTGGTATATTATTTGGTTCAGTTTATGGTAAGTACCCTCAAAGTAAATAAATATAATTTTGTCAATAAAAATATTAAGAGCACCAAAATTTAATTTATATAAAGTCTGGGGCTACAAAACAATTTTTTTAAAATGTGTTTTTTTATTGTAATTAGCATGAACTCCCACTAAAAAAACAGATTTGCATTTTTTTTTTCAAAAGCGTATTAACATAATTTAATTTGAAAAAATATTTATTAAATAAAAGGGGTACAAAATACATATACTAAAATTTATAAATTTTTTGCATACATTGTTTTTTTTAAAATGATTTCCAGTTCAGCAGCCGCAAGATAATAAGAATACTGTTAGATGTTTTGCCTACAGTAAGTTAAGGGTACAGGGGATCTTCAAATTTAAAAAAAAGTGACCAAAATTTCGATTTTGAGATTTTTATTATTTCGAAAAATAGACGTTATAAGCTATCAAACAAAAAAAAAAAAAAGGAAATCGAACCATTTTTTACTGAGTTACGAGGATTTTAATTAGGCCACGCCCCTTTGCTTACATTCAGAAAACAGAAGTCAGTAGCTTGAAGCAGCCGATTTTTTTAGTTTCGTTTTAAGCTAAAAGCTAAAAGAGCTTTATATTATTCAAAATACAAGAAAATTAGTGATGATCAAAATTATGTAAGATTAGAAGGACCCTCCTATTGTGCGGAGGAATTTTAAGAAAATTTTCTATATTTGACTCGCACACAATTAGTTTTTACATTTACATTTGAATCAATGTTTCATTTTTCGTTTGATATATCATTCATATTTTTTAAAATAAATTAACTTCATGCTTACTAACTTATTTTATGTTATTACTTTAGTGAATTTATTTGCATTAAATTTTGAATAAGTAAATATGCTTGTTGAGTACGTTTGNTATTTGGTTCAGTTTATGGTAAGTACCCTGAAAGTAAATAAATGTAATTTTGTCAATAAAAAAATTAAGAGCACCAGAATTTAATTTATATAAAGTCTGGGGCTACAAAACAACTTTTTTAAAATGTGTTTTTTTTATTGTAATTAGCATGAACTCCCACTAAAAAAACAGATTTGCATTTTTTTTTTCAAAAGCGCATTAACATAATTTAATTTGAAAAAATATTTATAAAATAAAAGGGGTACAAAATACATATACTAAAATTTATAAATTTTTTGCATACATTGTTTTTTTTAATGATTTTCAGTTCAGCAGCCGCAAGATAATAAGAATACTGTTAGATTTTTTGCCTACAGTAAGTTAAGGGTACAGGGGACCTTCAAATTTGAAAAAAAAGTGACCAAAATTTCGATTTTGAGATTTTTATTATTTCAAAAAATAGACGTTATAATCTTTCAAACAAAAAAAAACTTTTGGAAATCGAACCATTTTTTACTGAGTTACGAGGATTTTAATTAAGCCACGCCCCTTTGCTTACATTCAGAAAACAGAAGTCAGTAGCTTGAAGCAGCCGATTTTTTTAGTTTCGTTTTAAGCTAAAAGCTAAAAGAGCTTTATATTATTCAAAATACAAAAAAATTAGTGATGATCAAAATTATGTAAGATTAGAAGGACCCTCCTATTGTGCGGGGGAATTTTAAGAAAATTTTCTATATTTGACTCGCACACAATTAGTTTTTACATTTACATTTGAATCAATGTTTCATTTTTCGTTTGATATATCATTCATATTTTTTTAAAATAAATTAACTTCATGCTTACTAACTTATTTTATGTTATTATTTTAGTGAATTTATTTGCATTAAATTTCGAATAAGTAAATATGCTTGTAGAGTACGTCTGTGTATTTCTCTTCATATGCACATATTAAGTTGAATTTTCATCCATTTCAACCTAATAATGGAGATAAAAGTACAGATATATGCTTAATTAGTCATTTTTTAAATATTATGCACAGCTAATAGTGTTATTTTAAATACATTTAAAAAAAATGCTATTTTCTCAAAATGAAATTTTGACGGATTTTTGTGTTTTCGAAATGCTCCATGAGTCTCAATTTTTTTTTTTTTGGTTGAAACTTGTTTTATGTGTACTATGTATGTATGTAATTAAAACTTACCATGTTTTGTTACCTAGAACTTTGATAAAATTCGTTTATAGTAAAAAAAGTTTAAGATTTTTAAAATTTTTCTTGAAATTTTCATGAAATACATAACAAGTGTGTTTTTTGAGCTAGAGCAATATAATTAGCCACTGAATGATGGTAACTTTTATTTGGAAATCAAAAGCGAGTCATATTAAAAAAAAGTATGATTCTGAGGTGAATTTCAAGCCGCGTGGAGTGTTTTGACTTTATCGGATTTTATGCTATTTTAAAATTTTAAAAGTTCAATAACTTTAAAAATTATTAATCACATTACATGAAATTTTGTATACAGCTTCTTAAAGATATTATAAGTAAATACTGTGAGTTTCATAATTGTAGAATAAAAACTCTGAAAGTTGGTTTTTAAGGTCCCCTGTACCCAGAGAATAAATTGAAAAAGAACAACTATTTTTAATTTATATGAAGAAATAAAAAGGTTTTTAAAAATGAAAAGTATTTTAAATTAATCATCTATTCTCGGTTAGATTACACACAATTAAAAAACAATGTACACGAAAATTATTCTACAATTCCTCATGAAAAGAACTAACTTTTATATAAAAAACAGAAATATTTTAATTCAAATTGATTTCAGGACTGTTTTCATTAATTTTCATTAATTTATATCATATCTCAATTTTAAAACTGATCTGAATGCTAAATAAAGATACTTAATTTACAAAATTATTAGGGAAATAATTTTTTTTTAGTGTTGTTTTCATTTCTGGTTATTGACGTGTACAGCGTGTTTTAAAAATGCTGGAAAGTTAATTAAAGAAAAACGAAACGAAATGTATTGCTTGTAGTGTCATGTTTAAGGTTGTTTTTCGAAGGCATCGTCGTCATCTGAAATGATGCTTTTTACGAATGAAATGTCATTTACATAACTACTGTACAATCAAGTTAAGCCAATCTAAAGACAGCACTGTCTATACTTATTTTGCAAATAGCGCAAAACGTCAACATGGAGAAAAGCCACTGTTTCGTGAAAATAAAAGGTGTTTGCGTTAGTAAACTTATTTTTTAATATTTTTTTTAAAAAAAAATTACTCCAATGCAGCTTATAAATTGCAAAATCAGCGAAATGCAGCTTTAATTGCAAAAACTGAGAATAAGGCAATAATTTTTATAGTTTTCATCTAGGGTGGAAAATGTGACCAAATTGGTGATTTTTAAAATAAGTTCAGTAACTTTAAAAATATTTAAGTTATTTGTCCGTTCTAAACAGGGCTAAAGAGAATAAAAGGGCTAGTTCACTCCGCTCTTAGAGATGAAGCTACGATTTCCCTCCTCATGACGTCACTGTGTCCACAGATCTCGGAAGATCGCACGCAAAGATATTATGATAACTTTGCATCTTTCTCTTTGTAAAAATAAGTTAGACTTTTTCTGGTTATTAGCCTTCAAACTTTACGTAATTAACACATTATTTCCGTTCATAAACATAGTTCAAAAAAAACTTTCTTGGTTATTATATTAAAAAAATACCATTTTAAACTTATAAAAATGTTTTGCTAGTTGGTGAAAATGACACGATAAATACTTTATTTTAAAAAGTTCAGTTTTAACTTTAACTATTAAGAAAAATGAAGGCATATATCGACACTTTTTTTATCTACATATTCTTTTATAAAGATAAGTTAAGTTAAATTTAGAATCCCTGATTTTAAAATATGTCGTTAATAGCAATTTGTTCATACTTAATCATTAGGAAACATCAACCTTAAACGCTAATTACTGAAACAAAATAATAATTTAGGTTCATAATGACATTAGAAATTTTACAATTGTTTATAGATATTTAAATTTAAGATGATATAATTTATAGATATTTAAATTCAAGAGAATATAATTTTTAAAAGAATCATAAATATTTAGAATAACTACATTAAAAAAATAAGTTATGAAATTAGGAGAATTTCAACTGTACACAATATATTTTATTTATACTTTTTACTTACGTTTTAATTTTCTTTGACTTTATCCATTTTTAAATTTTTTTCACATGCCTTTCTTTTTGAAGTAACGAGGCGGTTTCTATTTAGGTAACGAATTTTTATAAAAGTTCTTAACGATAGAAGAAACGTATTGCTGTTTTATATTAACTGTGTCATTTCAGAATCCATTCTTTACACAGTTGTTCATTTACTTTAGGGAACACGCGGAAAATTATATTTTTTCCTTTTGTTTTTCTATCAGAATTTTTGCAAGTTGTAATCGCGCAAACTGGCATTTTGTTAATAGTTTTAAAATTTCGTAAATTCACGGCAAAAACTGAGGAAAGTCATTATAGAAAATAACAAATGTCTTAGAATATGTCACAAAAAGAAATGCTCCAATATTAGTTAGAGCTAGCAAGGTCGACCGCTCTGTTCTCGAAGTAAAAGTGCGAGCTTTGCGCCAAAGTGACGTCACTAGAGAAAATCGGAGGATTGCTTCGGCGAGAGTTTCTTCAAAGGAGTGAACCAGCCCTTCTATTCTCTTTAGCCTGCGTTCTAAAACTGAGATAATTCTTCACGGCAAAACGATATATATAGTTTAAAATTATCGCTTTGCTTCGAATGTAAGGAACTTACACAGCGGATTTTTTATTTTCCTTTCAGGGGTATCCAGATTTCAATTTCAGGGATTCCGAGACATTAGAAAAAAAAAAATTGAAACCAGTGATGATTTTTGAAACTTGTAATTAAATCCAAAATCCATTATTTATTAATTATTTCCGCTTATTTTATGAAATTATTTAATTGAAATGCTTTTAACGAAAGAAATTTTAAAACTATGTTTTTTTTTCTTATAACAATATAATGAACGAATTATGAAAAGGATATGCATTTATAAAAAATTAAACATTATAGTTAGGCATCGAATAAAAGTAACCAAATTCCACAACGAAGAAACATGTTTCTCTGATAACTATATTGAAGGTTCATTTTCTTCTTTCTTTTAATGAAAACAATATTTCAGCTTATGCATATACTAAAATCAAATTAAAAAGACAAGAGTCTGCCTCAAACCTCTGAAGTCTGACATAAAGTCTGATTTTAAGACTGTTAAAAGACAATTGACAGTCAATTGAAGACAATTGAAGTCTCAATTGAAAACAAATTGAGACTGTCAATTAATTTAAAATGTGAAACAATTTCAATCTTTTTCATTCACTAATATTTTTCAAAATAATTATTGCAATTTAGATGATGATTACATGTTTTCAAATAGTCTTTCGTTTTTAACTGATAGTCTAAGTTAAATTAATAGTCTTTCGTTAATTAATATATTCGTATTTGCTAATAAATTTTATTGATTAAGTCTCGGAGTTCCGATGAAAGAAGGCCGATCACTTAAGGCACGGCAACCGACAATAATTGGGAACTGCTGCTATCTTACTAAAGTGTGTTTTGCAGGTTCAACAGAAATATTGGGTAGCTGCATGTCTTATCATCGAACTCTGCCCGTCTACAAAGGTGAAATGACTTGCCCAACTTTAGGCACTGATATTCAATGCTTAGACGACTCAGGTATGGATATTTGAAGCAAATGTTGACAACTTGAATTGTTAATGTAACCAAAAACACACATGAATATTCAGGATGAAATCAATATTTTATGGGTAACATGTTAAAATTTCTATTCCTGACAGAAGCAATAAAGATTGAATTAACAAAAATTATGCTAAAATATTATTATAAAAATTATTATAATAGCAAAAGTAAATTATAGGAAAAATAAATACACGTTTACAAATAAAAATATTGCATTTAAAAATTTAAAAAATTTAAAAAAATTAAGGAAAAAATTGGTTTAAAAAAATGGATTAAAGTTACATTTGAATATAAGTTGCAAATTTTAATACCTTTGTAACTTAGTTTACTTTAGTGCAAGAATAATTTGAATTCTGAGAGAAGCTTACAAAAAATTTTAAGCGTCAAAAATGTTACAAAAATATTTTATCAACACATTTTAATTAATTTTTTCATTTATTATTAAATAAATAAAGATTTCCTTTATGATTCTATAAATGACAATTAAATTCATGATTCCATTAATCTTGCATGGAACCAAGATAAACATCGAATTAATTCAAGGATTCAAAATGAAATGTTGAAAATGTGAAATCAATGCAGGAAAAAAAATTAAATTACGTTATCCTGATGGTTTTTTTTTAGAGAATCAAAAGTTATTTGGATTACTATATTTTTTACGTGTGCTCAAAACTGTATTTCGATAACAAATATACATATATATATTGTATAAATATATTGTATATATAAGTTTTTTAATATAACTTATGAAATATAGTTGCATAAAAAAATCAGTACTTATTTTGAAGGTGTTAAAGATATCATTCCCACTCGACATATATATTTCTCATTTTCATGCTTTTAATAAATAATGTCTATAATGTTTCATATTCATAAATACAGTTGCCTTTAATATTAAATTATTGAATGCTATTCAATTAGAAATGACAAGTTCACTCATAAATTATATTTCTGTATATAATTTACAATTATTTAGTTTTTGTGGGTCTAACTCTTAAAATATAAATATAGTCAAGACTCTTAAAATATAAATGTTGCAAGTTTGCCAGACAGAGCATTATTGATGAAACAAAAGCTAGCCATTTTATTTCTCTGTTTGTAAATTTAGAGTATAGTTTCAAAAAGTATTAGATAAAAATGAAAATGCATTAGTTTCTAATGCTATTCATTTAGGCAGAGCTGTTGAAGGAGTTTTTGGAGATATAGTTCTAGCAAAACCAATGCCATCTTTTCCCCTCGGCTTGTTTGGAGATGTTGATGGTACTAAATATAAGGAAACATATTTTTCTAAATATCCAGGTACGTGCGATTTTGTTCTGAACTCAATACTATAATATACTAGACATACACACACTGGCTAATGAATTAGAAACATTAGATTTATATTTTCTTCGATCGTCTTTTGTGCGAATAACAACCATTCTTCATAAGGGCATCGATTCTGTAAGTTTTTGGAGTGAATTTATGCTCAGAAAATAACATGCAAATAGATACACAGATTTCATGATCTTGTAAATTAAATGGAAGAAAAGTTTGATGTCGTATGCGTCTTTTCAACATTGTCCCAAACATTTTTATTATGTTAAGATGCGGATTTTGTGGTTGCTAAGGAAGGCATTGGAGATTACAATGACGTTCAGTGAGCCATTTCCAGTCGCTTCTGGCTAGATGCATTGTTGTAATATGGTTCAAGAAGTAACCATGGAGCAAAATTGTAATGTTCATAGGATGAATTTGATTTAACAATGCGTCTAGATGCTGTAGGGCTTTTTGTTTAATCTTTTAGGATCACCAAGGCACCATTTTCTTACCAGCACAACACGTTTCGGCCCATAATACTCCTACCAGATCCTTTTACAATGCGAACAAAGCAAAAGAAAATCATTCAAGTTTCTAATTCATCGGCTATTGTTTGCTTAAAATCTTGACAATATTTGCAGATTTTTCATCGTTTGCACAAATTACTAGATTAAGCATGTATTTCACCCAGGATACTCCATTATCACCCCTTTTGTTTAGAAAAACTGTGTTGTTTATAATAAGAAATTATTTAAAAATATACCTTGTATGGCTGGCGATCACGAGACCAGTTCTGGCTGAGCCTGCAATCAGTGAGGATGGTTGCTGATCTCGTGACATACAGGAGTGGCAAAATAATATTGATATGAATTGAAGGTATAGTTCGAAAATCAAAAAGAGCAGAGAGCAGTGTAAACTTAAAGAAATTTTCATTTGTCGAATTACTTTTTAATGATAACACATATTTCCTGCGTAAAACAACCAATTTTATAGCTTCATTGCAAAAACATTTCTTTTAAAAAATGCACGCATTTTAGTAACATATTCAAGCTAATTCTTTCAGACAATTATTATGTTGCCAATTTCATATAATGTTTTGCACGATATTTACAGTTCTTATTCGCTTAAAAATGTATTCAATTTACCTCAATATCAAAATGGTGAACATTACACACCAAAACTTTTTACACTGTATGTATACTTTTTACTTCATTAAACAAAAAAACCCTCTGAAAAGATAAATTAAGGCCAGGACTTAGAGAAAACCATGTATATTTATGGAAACGGTTCACGAACTCTGCTTTGAAATTTAATTGATTTTTTTAGCAATTACTTAAAGTATTAATATATAAAAATTGTATTCTCAAAATCACACTCATTCTTAACACGCATTCACATTAGTCAAACCTATTCTGTGCTTTTCAACTATGCATAAACGGAGATTACCATCATTTTCCCTGAGTGCAGCAATTTTTTGAAACAAAGCGAACGGTTTTTTTCGAAATTGCTCATCAGATGTGCTTGCTGTCTTACTAAAAATAGGAAAAGTTCCCCTAAACTGAAATTATATGTGGATTAAAAAAATATTATTTAACCAAATGACAATTGGCAGTAAAATAAAAATTCATTATGCCATTTTGCTTATGATATTAATAAAATGATTACCTGTATGAAAAGTCAAGTGTGGCACTTGGGTTCAACTCCGTAGCTCAGTAATTTTGCAATAGAACCGCTGTTCAAATTTTCGTAATTTATAGCCAAACAACCGAAGAAATTCACCTTCCTAGAGCAAAAGTTAGCCTCGGTTTGCATTCCACTTGAAGGAAAACGACGAATACTTCCTAGGGAGCCGTGGTGGCTCAGGAGATAGAACGCTCTCTTCCCAACGAGTTCGAATCTCAGCATGGCTGGGATTCGAATTCCACACCCGGGTCGCAGTTACTACAGTGCTGACGTAAAATATCCTCAGTGGTAGATGGATGATGGGAAAGAGTCCCCTTACCGTCAATCTAACCATGGGAGGTTCTTGTGGTCTTCCTCTCCATGTAACGTATATGCGGTTTGTTCCATTGTTCCATCGAAACGACCTCCACGAAGGCAAATTTCTCCCAATACTTGATCCAGGAGCTCCCTTGTCTTCTGGATTGGGTTCAAAATTGGAAGACTACGGCTTTGAACACTGGAAGTCGTAAACTTAAAATTGGCTCGGCTGTTCAACGACGGTTATAAAATAAAATAAAATACTTCCTAGTATTATCCCGACAGTAAGGAGATTAATTCGCAATTTTTCAACTCCTGATATGTATGCCAACATGTCAAGTCTGAATCATCAAACAATTGTCAGGCGTCGCTCTTTGGCCACCTTACTGACCACTGGCCACCTGTCTCTAAGCTACCCAGGCGCAGCAGCAAATAACTAAAATTGTTTTGCGCATGAAAAAAATAATTGATAAAAAATAGTGCTTCAAGATATGAAACTGCATATGAACATGAAATTTAAAAATACATTAGATTTAACATTTTCCAGATAATAGATATTTTTTTCCAGATAAATTTGCCATGGGAGATTTAGCAGTTATTAACCCCATTACTAAAGGCATAATTATTCACTGTAGAAGGCAAGTATTTTGCTTTTTTTATTATAAATAATAATAGTTTTATCCGTAGTGTAACATTTTTATGCAACTAATTCCTATTTAAATATGTTTTGAATTAATACAAATTCTATCCGTTAAAAAATAGGCGAATGAGAAAATATCTAAGAAGGGGAAAATAATGGATTAAACCATATGTTTCTGATTCTTGAGAACTTTTTCTTAATTAAATCTCCGCTATTCTTCACATCTTTGATATAAAATGTTAAATACAAAAGAGGCCTTTTGTAAAGTACGCTTAACTTAAACAGAAAAATCAAACTTGATTTTGAATGAAATTAAAATAATGCATGAAACCATCTTGAAATTAATAAAAAAAAACATTGAAAATATCATAAAACAATAAAAATAAGATATGAAAATTTTTAATGTTTGTAATTTATTCATTAATTTAAAAAATTTTACTTTTATTCGAAAATCATATATGTATATTGAATTTATAGAGAATGGAATCAATTTGTTTAGTAAGGGCACGATAATGAATTTTTTTCAATCAAGCAATTCAAGAAAAAAGAATGTTCATTATATTTTGGGTTTTTGCTTCGTTCTTGGAGTTAAGGTATTAGAATAAACACCAAAAATTCAAGTTATACTCTATTATTTTAATTTGGGCTACAGATTGCATGATCACGATTCGGGCACATATTATATAATGAATAAAAAGCTAATTGGTTGAAAAGTAGAATCCTAAAACTAAAAATACTAAAAAAAAAAATTAAAGAAAAAACAAACATATTTTTTAGAACTTAAAGATGTAACGTCATGCTGCAGTATTGTAAAAAATGTGACTTACTTGAAAATTGATAAGATTTCCTCATTGAAAAAATGTTTTACGAACTTTATTTGACACAGTTTAGAATACAAAGGAGAAAAGAACATTGATTTTCCCTAAAACAAAGAAGCAAAAACTATCTAATTTGAAAAGAAAAAGCAGTATCTTTATTTCCCTAACAACATTTGAATCAGTTTTCGTTTTGTTCAAAAACTGAAATTGTTTTTACCTATCTCAAAGACCTTGACACTTTTCACAGCACTTGTTACATTAAAAATTAGTTTCACACTAAAAAAAAAAAAATTGAAAGCCTTTTTAAAATTTCTTTCAGCGATGAAGTTCTTAAACCAGGTGGGTGGAGATTTGGAAGTACTGAGATATATAACGTAGGTAAGTACTTATGATTATAGATTTTCAATAGATATTTATAGATCTCAGATTAAATCGACTTTTATGAAAGTGAACGTATGACGTATATAAGTTTCATTTTAAAAAATGAATATCAAAACAAATAAATAAAATATACTTGAGGAAATTTGATGGACATTCCTTACCAAATTATAATGCATCACTTATATTTTTATTACTGGAAGCCATATAATTCTATGTACACTAATAAAGACAAAAAAATTATACTATACACTTTCTTAATATGTGTCTGTTCCCTGCGAAATGCAGCAACACATCGTGGCACGAACTCGACTCATGTCGAAATGCATGCTAAAGACAAATCACACCATGAATCCTGCAGAACAGTCTAGAAATCCATGGCAGTTTCAGGTTATGAATATCTCATCTGAACAACGTGTTGCAGGATATGATTTAAAGATTACTTTTGGAAGTATAGGTAGCCAATGAAAATGTCTTCAATCAAGAGAGTGCACCCGTATCTATTCGGCAGCAAAAATTGCTGCAACGTAAAAAATTTCGTAATCTCCTGCTGCTGAATTGTTTGAATTGTACAATGGGCATGAATGGGTGTAGGTAATCGAACAGGATGCTTACCTGTTAAAGTTGTATCTAGAGTTATCAGCTGTATGTCATGCTGGCTCTATTCCTTGACGGTCTCCTTCAACTTGAGAACTTCAATGTTGACCTGTAGGAACTATGAATTCACAAGGTTTTTACCTGGAACCAAATATGCCAGTTTCGGCAACACTTTGCTGGACACAAAAAGTACCAGTCAGTGTGCCCAAACGGGACATAAAGCTTTGTGTTGTCCAACAACGATCAATACGATCAACAACGATAGGATGACCGAGCCTTTGGCTGCGAATTCCCCGTTTAATGACGGTCCGTTGAATGGTTGACACTTGTTGATGCTACAACATTAAAATTCGTGGCAATTTGAGGAAGGGTTGTACGTCTTTCCCATTCAACGTTTCTCGTAAGTCACCGGTCTCATTGTTTCTGGATGTTTTTCCTGATTCCCCATATTCACGGTATACTCGTGAAATAGTAACATGCGAAAATCCAAATTTCATCGCTACCTCGGAAATACTTTATCCTGAATATCTTCCTTTGACTATGACAGCAATTTAAAACTCATATATATCTTCATAACTTACCACTGTAGCAACAGGAATCAATCTAAGAGCTTTGCCAGACATTTATCTTGAAAAGTGTAGTCCAATTACATTGCATTACTCTGATTGGTTGCATACCTCTGTCATTTTCATACGTTTTCCTAGATCAGTTTTTCTGGATTTTCTTGCATATTATATATTCAATATGAGATATAATAAATTACCAGAACAGAGGAAGTTTAATTCTGAACTGAGGCTAAAAGTTTATTAATATGTATCCCTAAATCCTATATTTATTTTATTATATTTATTCTAAATCCTATATTTATTTTATTATTTTACTAAATTTCCGTTAAACATTATTGCATAATGTAAACTTAGAATAGTATATATTATCCAATAATCTTTTCAGTTCCAATGTAGAAATTAGTAAAAATTACGTTTTCCTATCTAAAAATTACCAAAAAATAAAATGAGATTTTTAGTCGAAAATAATTGCTATTGGCTAAAGAAGTATTTCAAATTACAGCACATTAGAGGATGGTGATTCTATCAAAAGTAGAAATTATCGTTGCCATGAGGTCAACTTATGTTCCCAGAAACAAAAATTTTCTAAAGAACCATAGTATCCAATAATCTTTTCAGTTCCAATGTAGAAATTAGTAAAAAATTCGTTTTCCTATCTAAATATTATTAAAAAACAAAAAGAGATTTTTAGACGAAAATAATTGCTATTGGCTAAAGAAGTATATTTTCTTTCAAATTACAGTACATTAGAGGATGGTGATTCTATCAAACGTAGAAATTATCGTTGCCATGAGGTCAACTTATGCTCCCAGAAATAAAAATTTTCTAAAGAACCATATTATCCAATAATCTTTTCAGTTCCAATGTAGAAATTAGTAAAAATTACGTTTTCCTATCTAAAAATTATTAAAAAATAAAAAGAGATTTTTAGTCGAAAATAATTGCTACTAGCTAAAGAAGTATATTTTCTTTAAAATTACTGTACATTAGAGGAAGGTGATTCTATCAAAAGTAGAAATTATCACTGCCATGAGGTCAACTTATGCTCCCAGAAATAAAAATTTTCTGAAGAACCATATTATCCAATAATCTTTTCCGTTCCAATGTAGAAATTAGTAAAAATTACGTTTTCCTATCTAAAAATTATTAAAAAATAAAAAAAGATTTTTAGTCGAAAATAATTGTTATTGGCTAAAGAAGTATATTTTCTTTCAAATTACAACGCATTAGAGGATGGTGATTCCGTCAAAAGTAGAAATTATCGTTGTCATGAGGTCAACTTATGCTCCCAAAAATAAGCATTTTCTAAATAACCATTGAATAATTTTTCAGATTGATGTTGAAAATAAATATGGAGGCTATTTATAATAAGATGTTTAAATTTTCATAACGTATTTCAATATCTTGCATATGAGACCTTGACTTTTAATATAACGAATTTTAAATCGGAGTTATGAAAGATTGTATTTTGGTCTAATTATTGACTGATATATGAACAATTCTCTCACTATTGTTCTTACTTGTGGCTGATGCATAAACTATTACTCACCAAGTGACCTTACTATTGTTTTAAGCTGTTATTCATATGTTGATCTAACTATTGACTGACACATAAAATGGTAAAGAATGTTGCTGGCAATCGGATTAAGGTGAAATATGCCGCAGTCGAGTGGAATTTTTTTTTCATATGTGCCATTATTTAAGGAACGTATATAAATCCATAACTGATGCCAAAGTTATTTGAAATAATGTAAATTCAGAAATATTTTTTAATGTAATTTATTGTTTCTTATAGTAAATATTCTACCTGAAGTGCACGACAGTCTTTGTGTTTCTCAATATAGTAAAAGTAAAAATGAGAGAGCAGTTCTATTTCTAAAACTAAAGGAAGGATACAAGTTCGGCAATGAAATAGTGAAAAAAGTTGAACGTAGAATTGTGGAGGAACTAACAAAAAATCATGTTCCTGGATTGATTATGGAAGTTAAAGATATACCAGTAAAATTACTCTTTTTTGCATTCATTATTGTTTTATTTTTACACTGTAAAAAATTGAGCAACGTATATGCTCTATTTTGAGAACTCTTGTCAAAATAGCTTCGAAACAAGTAATAGTCGAATTTAAAAAAAAAATTGCAACTCTTTGTATCATTGAAATTGGAAATTAGTAGGCCATGATATGTCATTGCAATGGCTACTATATTAAGCTTCCTAAAGGCCTGTTTACACGGTCCAATTTCTTGAATCCGAGAAATTGGACGGATTTCTCTGTCCAAGAAATTGGACGATTCGTTGACACTATCCAAGTTCTTGAATGTTGCTGATTCGTTGAAATAAAAACTTGCGCATGCGCATTGTTCATATTCAGCATTATAAAATAATACTTAAATAAGTTTAAAATTACTAAATAAATTCAAATAAAATCATAATAACACAAATAAACCGCAACAGATCAATTTATTTGGACTAAAATATATGAAAACAGACAAGAAGATGACATAATTTGCTGCCTGATTGTTGACGTCACAAAACCTAAGACGCTGATTGGTTAAGGGAGAAAAAACTTGGATGGAAAGTAGAACATGCTCTACTATCGTCCAAGAAGTTGGACCAAGTTCTTGGATGTTTGTTTACACGATCAAAGCTCAAAGCAAAACAAGTTTCCATCAATATCAATCAATCTCTGTCCAAGAAATTGGATCGTCTAAACAGGCCTTAACTCTACCTGGACTGAGGTGTACAATTACCCAGGTAAAAGCATCCTATTACGAATTTGGAGGTCGAATCCTGCCGGTAGTCAAATAACATCTGTCTTACATATTTCTCCCTCTATATCTCTTTTAAGACTATACATATCGCTAAAATATAAGTATCTGCTGCTTCAACTTTAAATACGCGGGATTTTTAAATTTCGTTATTATTTGGTTCGGAGCTGTTTTGACACACTTTTGCTGAATTTTTAGAGACATTTTTTTCACATTGTTTAACAGTTAAAATGGATTATGTAAAATCATTCAAAGCTTTTTTTTTTGATAAAATATTTTAATGCTTAAAGCCTGGATATTTTTGATAAGTTTAAAAAAAATTAAAGAATGTGAAAACTTGCAAGCATTATGTGTTATTAGCTGAGTTTTTTTTTAATAAGAACTGTGCGAATACATCAAAATCAAGGTTGAAATTGAATCTCTAATTGTTAGCTGAATATTTGATAATCGATCAAAATACTTTCGCCCAGATAACACTGTTACCAGATGGTGACAAAAACGTGACAGTCACAGAGACTCATTTGTGATGTCACATGAGTCAATTGACTCTACGACTTTCTTTAATTGTTAGTATTCTGTGACCCGCATGGTATTTAACATTTAATAATTCCAGAACTTATCATCAAAAGTTAAATTACATTTTTATTTCAACGCACTCCCCCCTGTGCATTTTTATACACATCCTCACAATTTTAAGTATTTAAAGTCTCATAATTTTTGTGCGGACAACAAAATATAACGTAAAATAGGACACTTAAAACAAAGATGGCAGCAGTGCTTACGATTTTTCAATGCAAGAAGAAGTAATTTGAGATCTAATTGTTCTTTTTAAATCCGTGAATTTCTATAGACTACGGTTCAATTGACTTTCATCCTGTGATTAAAATTATAGTAAAAAAATCGATTGTTTTATGTTATCTTGTGTGCCTTATTTACAAGATGACATAGAAAATGTAGTTAAAAAGTTTGAATTGATCAGCAAACTTATTTTTCAGTACAACATAAACGGAAAGAAGATGGAAATATTAGTTAAGAAGATTGTTAACAATATGCCTTACAGTCCTGAGGTAGTTATAAACAAGGAATCCTTGCATTGTTTTCAAAATGTTCCATCTTATGAAGACTAAATACCACATTGTTATTGTCAGTCATGTGATTAATAAAATGTATTTTTTTAATCAGAATTTTAAGTCACGTTCCTAGTTTCTCTGCTTTCTTTTAGTATATTACTTGAACCAAAAATGATCGAATATTTTGGGAAGAGTGTCGCCATTTTAAATGAAAAAATTTTAATTTCAAATCAACTTATATACTTTTAATCTACTTTTCTAGATAATAATAGTAATATATGAGAAAAATGTTATTAATAGGTAGATTATGAGATTCCTACAATGATAATCATTTTTTATGAAAGTCTGAGTAGTGTAATTTAAAAATACCCGATGACGTAATTTAATAAATAAAATGCACCGTAAAAAGGGGATACTCAAATATAACGTAACTTACTTTGTTTTTAATGAAACCGTTTCCTGGTATGTGCTCGAAGCGAATTTTTCATCAAAGTGACGAAATAATTATCGTCACTTCTTCAAGGAAACAAGTTTCGTAAAAATTAAAATAAATATTTTGTGATTCTATTTTTTACTATTAAAAAAAATTATTCTATTAAAAAAAAATAATAATAACTCATAGTGCCTAAAATATTGAACCCCTTCCTTCTCGCTCCCGTGAAAATGACGGGGTGAGTTTTCGCCCGCTCTTTCTTGCTCCCGTGATATTGACGGGCTGGAGTGTTCAGTACTAACGCGCCAATAAGAATAAAACTAATTCATTTCTTTTGCCCGGAAAACATCTTGTTTATCATTTTACACACCTGATGGCAATACCAGGATATTTTTAAGGTAATTGTAGATAGTTAGTTTATTTTAAACTAGTTGCAGCACTAATCAAATACGTAATACAAATACAAAAGCCAGAAATATAGGCTCTTTTATGACCGTTTTCCTGAAAATTAACCGATCGTTAAGGGGTTAACTTTTTAAATAATTACGGACACCAAATAGGTGGATAAATATCTCCTTAACAACGCAGGAAGGAGAGATAGAACAGAGAAATAAATTACTCATTTACCTGGAGTAGGATTCTTTCCCGGGATCCTCCTAGCACACGGCCTATATCTTGACCACCATACAGACAGTCCGCTTAATTCGTCACTTTATTTTCGATCGTATTTTCTTCATTCTAGTTCGTCACTCTAGTTAACAATCTTCCACTATGCACTCTGTTTCATCACAAATCGCGAGAACTGATGACGAAATTATTCTCAAAATTAGTTTCAACCCATTAATCTCGAGAATCTTTTAAGCGAATTGAAAAACTTTTGCCAAAATTCGTTTATTAAAAAAAAAGAAAGAAAGAAAGAAAGAAAATGCAAATATAACTTATAGTAAAAAATTTATTATTTTATTTAATATTTGTCTTAAACTGCAAGATATAAAAATTTTTACATCATTTTAAAGGATATAATTTAAAGTGGCAAAATACAAAGTTTGAGCGAAATTTGTCAAATAGTTCTGGAGAAAACGAATAATAATACGAATTCTTTAAAACTCGATTTCTCAGAAACTATTCGACCGATTTTTCGCAAATTCAGAGCTTTACCATGTAAAATTTCATTCCTTAAAAGGATATAAAAATTGTATACCTTACGATTCAAAAATTTTTATGAGCTGAATAAAATAATAAAAAATAATAAATATTTACTAAAAGTTGAATTTTTCTCGGAATTATCTTTGGATAAATAAATTTTATAATCGTGAGAAATTTTTTTCCAACTCTATTGAAATATTCTCGAGAAATTATGAAATACGAAAAAAAAATTAACATTAATGGGTCCAAAGTTTGGATCGCTCTCCTGACCAAACTAAGGGTGCCATGTTTCTCAGATTGTGGCCACTACCTATATTTTGGAGGTCAGAAATCAAAATATTTTGAAAGAAAGAAGGTTTATTCAGAAAAGTACGTTTTTGTGTCTGATTTCATAACCTAAAATATCGTCTACACTAATTAATTAGCATATTTGAAGTCCCCCAGTCAAGCCTTTAAGATTGAATTCCATAACGTGAAGATCCGATCACTAGATCAAAAGTTATTCAAGGTAGTCCCTTTTTCATTTTGCGCAGTGTACCTTATTTCATGCAGAAAGCTGCTGATGTTTCCATTGACTTGTTTAAACGCTTTGAACATATTCATTGAATATGCTGCAATTTCAGTGAAAAGCTTCAATAAGAGATTAGAAAAAGTGCTAGGCAGGAATTATTAGCAATTTTTTATTACAGTTAGCTATTAAAACAATCCTTGATTAAAACATTTTAACGAAATCCTGTTACTAACATCACTTATGAGGTGTTTGTGAAAAGTATTATAATGGATAACAATACATTTATTTAAAACTTACATTTACCTTTATTTACCATTAAAACGTATGTGTATAATTTAAATATTATTTAAACATCCCAATCACAGTCACAATTTTAACCATTTTAATCCTTGAAGATTTACTATATTTAAAAGGGTAGCATAATTTTCTTTATCTTAGAGAGATAAAAATTCTGATAAATTATAGTACTATATGGTAAAAAAACTGATTCTGGTAATAAAAACCAAAATATTCGATATTTAAACCATTCATTTGGTAATTTTTACGTTCCTGTGATAACTGTGTACTTAAAATTCTGGTTTTCAGAATTATCGATCGTAATATCACACATTTAGTAAAAAATACAAAACTGAACGATAAATTTAGCCGAATAAATTATTTTTACGCCAAGCTTTAATGCAGTGATCAACTTCTGATGCACTGATGAACTGAATATACATGAGCCGAAACTTGGTTTTCATTGAAATAAAGACGAAAAAGGAACGATAAAGACGAATAAAGATTGAGAATGGTTATTAGTTAGACATACTATTTCTTCATTGTTGAATTCGGTTTTTTTATTCTGTGCAAAATACTAATGCATTTTTTCATATATGTGCCCTTTTAATTTTGCATTTAATATATTGTTATTTGAAATTCTTTAATTTATATATATATATATATATATATATATGTGTGTGTGTGTGTGTGTGTGTGTGTGTGTGTGTGTGTGTGTGTGTGTGTGTGTCTATATATATTAATTATGTATATAATTTTCAAACTAAGTTCGTAAGAAATTAATAATGCTAGTTTTAAATTTTGAAACTTAATTTATTTATCTTTAATCTATTTTTCACTTGCAAGTTTCTCACGAAGAAGTCTCATTGTTCAAAATTCCAGCTTAAATTTCAATTATGTTTTATGTGAAACTATAAGTTTATCTAAAGCATTGATATGACCACAGCAGTAAATTAAAACCAGATAGATTTCAAGCACTTTACTGACTGCAACTTATCAACTACATGTTTACTTTTTATATCCTTCTCTTAGTTTAATAAAATATATGACTTAACTTAAAATTATTTGTCTAAAACTTAGATAATTAGGCAAAGTGAGACATTTAAGTTCAAGATTCATGTTAAAAATACTTCATTTTAAAAATAATTCAGTACTGGCTAATCTGATTACTTAACACATTTTTATTTTTAAACAAAATGTCCTACCTATTAATAAAAATAACACCAAGTGATTTTGCTATAAAACTAATTAATCATTATTCCGTATGCAATAAGAGCATTCCAAGGAAAAACATTTGATCAACTTCAATTTAAAGAGCTTGTCCAAACACTGAGATGTATCTTACAAGAGTTCATTAGTACAAGATTTTAGTAATTCTCTTGTAAACTATCAACGTCTATATATTTTAAAGAGTTTTTAGCCATTTCATTCGTTATTCGACGAAATTAATGCAGATCATTTACAAGATAGATGTGTACAATAATTTGAGCAATACATATATTGAGTAGGTAAAGAGTATAATGCTTGTTACTTGAATAATATCTCAGAAATTTCAGCAAAAGCTGCTGTAAGACGAAATTCTATAAAACTAAAGAACCTTAAAAATCGGTATATCATCTGTTCGCCATACAATACGCAAATAATCCATGAATATAAATCAGATGCTAAAAAATTTCATCTTCGTGTAATACCACAAGAGTACGTCGAAAAATAAAGTAGATTGTATTTTGAGAAGTTCAGAAAATTAAGTAATGTAAAGTGTTTTTAAGTTTATTCTAAACAAGTTCTTTTTATAGAATACATAAAAAGTTACTCTGTGATTTTACTGTAAGATTTAATTAGCATTCCATAAGTAATCAAATCACCAGGAACATTCTTCGCTAAACTTCGTTTTAACGCGTTTACTAACTTAGCGTTCTGACTAACTTTGTTTAATGTTTTAAGAAAGCAAACTATAAGTTATATATCTCAAGAGCTTATTCCCAAAAGTTTTGATAATTTTAGGTTTAACTATCAACGTCTTTATAATTCAAAGAGATTTTAAGCATATCATTTGCATTAGATACAAATGATGCAAATACAGAGAATACATTTCATCTAGCAACGCTGCAAATTTTATTGGGAAACTGGTTTATGTTTGTTACTAGTGTCTATTCAAACACTTCATAAATTTAATGAAAAGCTATAATAACGCTTATAATGATTACTTTTTTTCAAAGAGATGAATAACTTTTTTTAAAAATAAAAATAGTTTATTTTCAGAAGTGCTCTAAATTGGCTGATCTGGTGCTTTTTTTTAAATTTTATCAGCACCATATTCGGTTTATCAAAGACATAAAGAATCATTCCGTAATTTTACTATAAAGTCTGATTCGCACTCCGTAAGTAGCACTAAAAATATTTATTGCTAAACTTCATTTTAAGAGGTCGTCTTTCAAACTGTAAGAAGTTTGTCTTATTCTCATAACAAGATTTTAATACTTTTAAATTTTTTTTTCATAATTTAGACGTTGATAAATATGTATCAACGTCTGCAGAATCTAAATTGCTTTTAATCATATTATCTACATTAGATACAAATGATGCGAATGTAATGAGTACAATCACTGCTGCAACACTGCGAATTATGTATGTAAGGAATATAATGTTTATCACAACCGTAAATTCAAATACTTCACGAATTTTTTTAAAAACTAAACCAGGACAAAATGCTATGAACCATTAAAATAAAATTTTTTTTTTAATTTTCTTGAATAATAATACCGCAAGAGAGGAGTAAAAGTATTGTATTTTAAGCAGTAAAATGCCTATTTTAATTTTGTCATCAGCAAATTTGGCTTATTTAAACATAAAAATCATTCTGTGATTTTACTATAAGGTTTGACTAGCATTCCATATGTAATCAAAGCACCAAGAACATTAAACGCTAAACTTCGTTTTAAAGATGCCATCTTCCAAACTGTGAGACGCATATCCCGAGAACTTATTCTCAACACAAGAGTTTGATAATCCATAGGTGAGACATTAATGTCTACTGAATCTAAAGAGCTTTTAACCATATCATCCGCATTAGATACAAGTGATGCAAATATAATGAGTACAATCACTCCGACAACGCTGCGAATCGTGTAGGTGAGGTGGACAATGTTTGCCAGCAACGTATCATCAAACACTTCGTGAATTTCATCAAAAGCTAGAGCGAGACAAAGTGCTATGTACCAAAACACAACAAAACTCAATAGATCATCTATTTTTGATACAAGTTTGGCGACAATTCCATGAAGGGAAATCAGGTGCTTAAAGTTTTTATTTTCCTGGAGCATCATACCGTAGGAAAGGATTACCTTATGCAATATCCAGCATACTGTGCAATAATATAAAACAAACACATCTGCAGCCAAAATAAGCATGTCAAAATTTAAGATTGATGTTGTAATGAGCAAAGCGTTTATCTTGTATGAGAAGTGGATATCGAAATAATAAATGTGCATGTAATTAAACATGCCGAAAGTAACCGTATTCCAAATGTAATAACCATTAAAAATCACATGAGATATTGAAATCGAAAACATTGAAAAATGTATCCATTTTTTGATTCTGATGAAGTCCATGTCGTATATTTTAAAATCCTCTTGCTGAGAAATAAATTTTCTTATTGTAGGAATGACCTCTTGTAGGGATTTCAGTTTAAACCGCAGGAGTATAGGCAAAGCAATGGCAAAAATTAGAATCGAACATTCTGTTAAATATTGAACATGGTCTCTTTGACGATTTGAGACGTAAGTACAGTAAGTATGTGAACCTAAATTTACCACATTTGAGGTAATGTATGTGAAGAAAGTCAACATATGTATTGACTTTTTGAAAATAATATATTTAGATGCATGGTTGTACCAAAAATCCCATGAAAATATTCCACATACTTCAAATAAAGTAAAAATAGGACTAAATATGTTATCGTAGCTGATAATGGTTGCTGCGCGAGCCTTTTCTCTCTCTATAAAATTCATTTTAAATTATTCCACAATTTATAATTACGATTATAAAAATCTCCAATATCAGACGTTTTTTTTGTAATTAATGTAATGGTAGCAAAACTATTACAAAAAGGAACACCATTTTTCGTAACTTTTCATGACACCAGACTAATCCTATTTCTTTTAAAGTATAGACCTAAGAGAAATTTCCTTAATAAACCGATTCGCAGTTAAAAATCAATAGTTTAACGTCAACTGAAAACTAATATCTTTTTATTAAAGACAACGATCTGTCATTACAGGAACCAATGAGTAAATAAAGGCAAACTATGATTAATAAAAAGCTTTTAAGGAAAACTAAATATGCTTAAGTAATGGAAATCAAATATTAACTTTACATCATCAAGATTAAGTGGTTATGATCAACAAATTGTAGAAAGCTGATTATTATTATTATTAGAATTATCAAAATATTGAACGGGGTAAGAGGTTTCTTAATAATATTTATTAGATTAACTACTTCATAAATGTTGTGCTCGCTGAAAGTAAAGGATTATAAATTTTAAAAAGTTTAAAATCATGTGTTGATAGGGCAAAAATGAAACTCAAAAGTTGAATTTTTTTGTAAAAGGGAGTTGTTACTGCGTAGTTATACTAAACAAATCAAACATCAATAAATTACTTTTCAAGTAATCGAGTTTTGATATTTTTGTATTCTAAAAATATTTTATTAACATGTTGTTTTATTTGATATGACAATAGAACATCTTGGTAATAGATGCATATATTCTCTCTGTTTTAACATTGAATTTTATCACGACTTTAATACATTCCTACTTTATCAGTTCTGTGTGCTTAGTGTTGTAAATATGCTAAAAATTATCTACCAAATGTTTAAAAACATCTATTTTTTAAGAATATAAAAAGGATGATATAAACGAACACATATTTAAAAAATAATTCCAAATATACAAGAGATTAATGAATGAGATACTCTTATATCCTAGCTTATCTTCTACTCAGACTCAATCTGATTTTTATTCAAATTCAGTTACCTGTTGGTCCGTAGTCTAGTTCATAAGCCTTGACAGAAAGGATTAAATAAGCAGCGACAGACATTACACTCAATAAACCCAATTAAAAAGCAATATTCTAAGTAAAACTGGAGCACTATTTAAGTGTAAATTAAATGCTAAAATATTTTGTTAACTATATTCTATTTAAATTGGCAGTTATTGTATCACAGTCAATCACTTCACAGACTGATCATATCATCGCCAAGAACAGTTCACCTACTGCACATTACTTCGCCAAATGCCCATTCCACCGTCAACATTGTGTATACGACAAGATGACACAATAATTTCGTCAAGAGGATCATTTTGCCGGCACGATCGTTTCACCGACATGATCATTTTGCTGAGATGATTAGTTTGCCATCATGATCATTTTCCCGACTTGTTAATTCCTCGATATAATAAAATCAATCGTGCAGAGATCACAGAGATTAAAGCATGAATCAATTATGAGTTTTGCTTTAAATTGCGCACTGACTCTCGACGTACTTTTTTAATGAGGGAATAAGGAACCACTTTGGCCTCCGAGGTTTTATGGTTTGGACAGACATAATGCTGAATTCTTGCACTCCCCTTTAATTTTTGAAAGAAGTACTGTGAATGGTATGAGGTTTAGATAAGAGGTTTTGGAGCCCTACTACAATGACACCACGCAACACACTTCTGTTCTCCCATTCGCTGGAAAATTAAGATATTCAGCTTGATCTCTAGACCCCAATTCTATAGAACATGTCTGGGGAGCTTTGAGAAGGTCATTGGAAATATGAACCATTCAGTGTCTGAAAACAGCGTTGCTGAAAGAGTGGTTCAGCAGAAACTAATGCAAACTGCCGCATTTTTAGTATGAAATCAGGCCTGTAAGTTTGTGCTTTGACGGCCATATCCTCTATTAAATCAGTTTTCATTAAACATTGCACGCACTCTTCGATAATATCCGATTCTAATGAGTGTTACGCACGATCATGCGCGTGTATTTTAACTGTTAAATAGTAATTGTTTTCGTATTCTATCAACTTGTGTTCAAACCAAATTTAATTAACATCTGTTCAGAAGTTCTGGGAACAATCGACCAAATAGAAAAATCTCTGAATTCTGAACACCAGATATTAAATCTATAAACATTTCTAACAACAGTTTAAGTCAATGAAAAAATTTTGATTTAGTATTTATCAATATGTTGCCTACGATTAGAAAGCTTAGTTAGTTTTTTCATTTGAAAAATTTATTCCCATAATTTTTCGAGCACGTTTTGATCATTCCGATGTGGATAAAAAAATTTTCTCTCACTATAATTCGCGTGGGAAACTGACATTATGAAAAATAGTTTGCTAGACAGGTGTTTATAATTCAGGTGTGCATTTCAACACCTGAATTGGGATCATAAGTTAGAGTTTCATTTTAATGCATCGTCATCTAGAGATTTTTACTATTTATGTAAGGTCAAAAACTTTATCTGATACTTTTATCTATCAAGATTTTAACTATAGACTTCCATAACAAAAATTATCCATTAAAAGATAAAGATCGAGATTAACTCAAACGACTGGGGAAAGATAATATTTCAAAACTTTCTATCTTTTTATTTGTATTGAGAGATAATTGCGTGAAAATTATGTGACTAGAATTGAAAATAATACAATTACATTTAAAGTTTGTAATCGTTTAAAGAGCTATTCATTTTAATAATTTTTACATTTAAGTTCATTATTAGCAGTAAAGTAATATGCACAAATTAAAAAATGTAAGGAACGAATCAAACATTTAATTGAAAAAATTGTTACGGATACTTTCAGCGAACTATGGATTTAAGAAACTTTGAAAATTCCTGCTGCGTGTGGAAACCATCAGGAATTAACGAATCATCTAATTATGCAAAGTTTGTTAAAATGATCGAGAGAAAATATGAAGTGAAACTGGGTAAATATTAACAATTACATTATATTACTAATAAGTCATAGGTATATTATTATATAAAATTAATAACCTTTACTTCAAAACGTTTTAAAATTTTTTCCAGTTGACAAAGTTTGCTCAAAATTTGGAAAAACATTTCACTAATTTTACTGCACATTTATAAATAAGCATATATGAATAATATGTAATATGTAAACTCTAATTTAGTTTAATAAACATGAGTGTTAAACGGATAAAGCTAAGCGCAAATGCCGTTGGTGGTACTGAATCGGAGATTGATCTGTCTCAGGTCAAAATCACTATCTGCGGATGAAGGAATGGATGTATGAACGTGGCAGAAGTCAAATTCTTGGCCATAGATGGCGCCACTGTAAAACAAGAGCAATCGCACAACTTGCCATAATGGCCCACGACAACAACAACAGCTAAAAGTTCAATGTTACACAGGTTTGGCAAGGAAATTCCAGCCTTTTTGTATGGAGGATATTATCATTTGTGTCTGCTATGCAGGACTGACGTCGTCTGCCCATGCTGAGAACCAGGTTGATAAGATGCTCTTGAGGAATTGCTGCCCATTCTTGATGTAGAGCTAATCGCAGTTGCGGAATTGTTGCTGGCGGCTGGGGACGTGCTCCAAGCTTCTCCCTACAGTCTATGAGTTCAATCGGATTAAAATCCGGGACCTTGTCGGCCATTCCATGAGTGCAATATCTTCCCGCTTCAACAGTTCTGTGACAGCCACTGTAAGATGAATAGTATTATCGTCTATGAATATGATCTCAGAATCCACAGCATCTTTATAAAGATTTACATGAGAAAGGAGAACCTCGGTATAGTATCGGTCACCAATGACTGAACCACCTTGGAAGATACGTAGATAAGTACTGGTACCAAGCCTGATACCATACAAGAACTCCGCGTCCTTCAAATTGGTCTCTTTCGATGATGTTAGAAGGGTTATTGCTTGTTCCTCTCAGATGTGTATGCGTCCAGAATCATGAGTCAGACTGAATCTGCTTTCATCCGTAAAGAGTATTCGACACCAATTCCCATCTGTCCAGATGTTGTGTTCCCGACACTACATATTTTAGCTAAACAAATTTATCCAAGTGAATTAATTCTCAACAAAACTAATAATTGGCATCTTTCGGAAAATTTTCTTGATTTATCTTTTAAAATTTATGAAGATAGGGAAATTACATTAAAATTTTTTGACAAAAGTAATGATATTAACTTTCAATTCAAAGCAGTATCGGTTTTAATTCCAATTTAGCCAATATAAGCCATTTGGCTCTGACATATAAAAAGTCACCCTTTGAAAGAAGAAAAACCAATAAATAAAGCCGGGAAGGGCCGACTCAGTGGAGTTTGATTTTCTTTTCAATTATTGAAAAGAATCGGGGATCAATTATAAATCGGAAATCGTTATGGAGAAATCTTCAGAAGAAGGCATTGGCTCATATTGGGGCTGTCTGGCCAACTATTATCATTATTTTTATTATAAAATTGTTTTTTTTTTATAGATGGTAGCAATGAATGGTAGCACGACATAAGCTATGAGCACATTCATTATATTTCCTCTGTTTAAAAATTTTTGTTAATAGTTCGATGAGTATATCTAATTTTAACACATGTTTATTTTATTTTGCTTCATATCGGTAAGTTAGTTTTCTGCTTCTCTTCTTTTATCTTAAACTCATTTAAGTATTTTTTTTTTTAGATTTTTAGAGGCATAGACGCATTATAGAGAGAGGGATTTCTTTTTTGTCTTAGGACAATTATTCTTTACTTTGAAATATCTCTTTTCCTCTCATAAGGGAATGCGTCCTGATGAGAATCATTACTTTTTCTCATCATTTTTCATTACTTTTCTAATTGTATTGTGTTTCCACATGTATATTTATATGATTTCTTAAGCAGAAAGAAAAAAATATATGATGAAACATTTTGTAGAAAACTACTGGGATCTTCATAAATGGTCTATTGAAAATATTGAAGATTTTTGGGCAGAAATATGGGATTTTTCTGAAATCAAGTATTCAAAAAAGTATAACAAAGTAAGTATACATTAAATAAAATCTTAATTCGTAAAAAGTTCTTTGATTTATTAATTTTTCTGATTAGAAAGCAATTTTAAGTACTTTATAACATTGTAACCGTGAAACTAAATCAAAGTGTTTATAGGTGCACTATTGTGAATTTTTTTTTTAAAAAATGTAGTCTTTATTTTAAACGTTACATATTATGCACTTAAAAACGTATTCTGAAGTTCCTTACTACCTTAAAAAATTAATTTTCAATGAAACTTTATTGATGAAACAATGAAACTTTATTGAAACAATGAAACTTTAAAAATATTTGAAATGCCATTTTTTGATAGATTCTTAGTTCACGGGATACAGTTTGATACGATAAATATATCCCGTAAACTAAGAATTAGGGAAAAAACATTACATACACAAGATTTTACTTTAAATGTATTTATGATATTTTTGATTTTTAAGCATTTTTTAGTTATAACTAAAACTGCTTTTGAGGCACAATTTTATGCATACTTTTATGATATTCTTTTAGTTAATTGAAATCCTATTATGGGTACCTTTTAATCGTTTAATATGAACTTTATGTTTCTCGAAATACATAGAATATTAATAAAAGTCCCATAACTTACAGTTATTTTAATTTAAAGAGTAGCTGTTAGTCTACTTTTTTAAACACAGTAACTACAAGTAAGTTATTACAAGTAATTACAAGTTAGGAGAAGAAATTTCTCAATTTTATGGAGCATAAATGATGGTGCAATAAACTGTATTTTCATCATGTTCTTTTTCCCAAAATTTTAAGAAATAAATATATTTAACAAACATTCTTGCATAGATAATTTTTTTACCCTACGTCACACAAAAAGTCTAACGTTTCAATAACTAAGTTTTTTTAATTGCAGTTGGAGTTCAGATACAAAGTATAGTTTAAAGCTCTTAAGCCTAAATAAGTATTTATATAGCTCTTTTTGAATTAAGGTGGCGAGAAGGGATGAAGAATTCAAGTCCTCAGAGAAGTTAAAATAGTTAATTTCATACTCATATACTCGACAGCTTTTTCAATTTTTATTTAAATATTATAAATAAGCATGCAAGGAGGGAAAGAGTTTTAAATAGCATTTACAGTTTTCTAATAATTAAACGTTAAGTTTTGTGTTTTTCCTCAAAAACACACCTAAAAAGGTTTCTGTTAATTATTTCAATATATTTTTTATACACATCTTTTTATATTTTGTTTCTTCTTTACATATTTTTTATATACAATTTTATATATTTTTTAATATTTTCTTTGAAAATTCAAAGAAAGTCGGTTTTCAGAAAATGTGATAGCCATTCAATGAACATACACTGTGAAAAACTCCGGAATTCCAAATTGCGGTAAAATATATCACACTCAGGGTGCCAGTACCTTTGTACCATAAAATCTATCCCTTCCTTAAAATTTTAAGGTACAAAAAAATCTCATATTCCGTAAGTTGTTCTGTAGTATTCTCTGAATCACTGTAATTAATTAAATGTTGCTGTAAAAATTGGAGTATAAATTTTACGATTAAAATGAATCTTACTTTAAAATAGATTTTATGGATGCTGTACTCAGGGTGCCACTAATTTTTACCGTTATTCTATCAGAAGTTTTTTTACAGTGTAAGAACAACTTCTGTAAAAACTACTTTCACAAAAATCATGCATCATAATTATAACTACTTGTGTTTTGTTTACACTATAAACCCTTCAATGTAAGAAGAAAGTCAATGCTTAGAAACTGTTTTGGGCATTCAAGGAATATACACTGCAAAACATTTCTGATAAATTGCGGTAAAAATTAACGGCACTCAGGGTGCTTTTACCATGAAGTTTATTTTTATCTTAAAATTTAACGGAATAAAGCAAAATCTTATACACCGTAACTTTTACAGTAATATTCGCTGAATCGCTGTAATAAATTTTACTGTACGCTGTAATAATAAATTGGTATAAATTTTATGGTAAACAAGAATCTTACTTAAAAATAGATTTAATATGCAGCTCTCCGAATGCCAGTACTTTTTATCGTAAAATTCATTTGTACTAAAGAATTTTATGAAACAAAAAAATATAATAAACCGTTATTTTTACAGAAATATTTAACGAATCACTGTAACTATAAAAATTATTGCAACTGTACTGTAATGTAATTACTCTTAATGTAAAAATTATAGCATAAAGTTTACGAAAAAATTGAATTTCACACTCAAACAGAATTATTTGAATGCTACACTCATGATTCCTGCACTTTATACCATAATTTATCTAGAATTAATCAGAGTGCAAGAACAACTTCGTTAAAAACTACCCATACGAAAAATCATAGGCGTAATTTTGAACTATTAGTATTTTATTTGAATACGTTTATATCAGGATTTTTTTTAAATATTTTAATTATTTTTGTAGGTGGTAGATCTTTCTGTACCGATGAGTCAAATACCAAAGTGGTTTATTGGAGCAAGACTAAATTTTGCTGAAAATTTCCTGACATTCCGTGATAATCATACTGCTTTGATCGGAATAGGTCTCTTCTCTTAACGCATCTAAAAATATTGCAAAATATAAAGAAATATTAAAGAGTTTAATATCATTAAATCTTACAGGTGAAAATCGAGAAGAAACAAGGTTCACCTACGCAGAAGTATATGAAGAAGTGAAACAGTATGCAGCAGCTTTTAGAAAAATTGGTCTCAAAAAAGGAGATAAAGTAGCCTGTAAGATTTAATTTTAAGAATTTATTCTTTATTTTAAGTTTATAAAAAAGCTCGCTATTGAACTCCTTAATGCTGTTTGTATAGTATGTACAGCACACCAAAAAAAAATAAAAAAAACGGATCACCGTGAATTACTTTTGATTTAATCATCGGATCATCACATTCTAGGACTCAATATTAATAGTTCGAGGGGTTGACCTCAAATATGCTAATTAATTAGTGCAGACGATATTATAAGCTTCGAAAATGGATACAAAAGCGCACTTTCTCTGAATAAGCATATCTTTTTTTAAACGGATTCTAATTTCGAATTCGAAACTAACAAAAATTACAAAATAAAAACGTAATACGAATATACGACTTCGAAAAAAAATTCGAATATCAAAAAATTCGATAATATTCGATTTCTCAGGAAATATTCAACCGATTTGTTTAAAATTGTATATTTTTCCATGTAAATTTAAATACTTTTAAATTATGCAAAAATTTTATTCTTCTCAATTCAAAGCGACTATCATTAAATAAAATATAATAAATATTTTGCTTAAATTTATTTTTGGCTTGGAACTACCCTTGGGTAAACGTTTTCAATTTGCTTACAAAGTTCTTGAGATATGGCGAAGTATGCAAAAAGTAAAAACTTTGGACCGCTCTTTTGACCAAACTATGGGGACCATACTTCCCAGAGTGGCTACCCCTTTATTTTGGAGGTCAGGAATCCGAATCCAGCGAATAAAAGGTATGTTTATTCAGATAAAGTACGTTTTTGTGTCTGTTTTAACAACTTAAAGTCTGCACTTATTAATTAGCATATTTGAAATCACTCTCCATTGAGTCCTAGAACGTGAAAATCCGGTCATTAGATCAAAAGTCAATCAGAGTGGTATAGTTTTTTGGCCCACTGTACAAAGCGGAAAATAAAAACTTTGCACCTTGGATTGGTATAGTTTTTTTGCCCACTGTACAAAGCATAAAATAAAAACGTTTGCACCTTGAATAACTTTTGATCGTTTCACCAGATTTTATACATACTAAGACTCAATTTAGTCATTCGAGAGATTCACTTTAAACATGTTAATTAATTAGCGCAGACGATATTTTAAGTAACGAAATTAGACACAAAAAAATGCATATCTGACTCTCAAAATAAAGAGATTGACCACAATAAATGAAATAGTTTGGTCAAGAAAGCTGTTGAAAGTTTGGACTCCATAATGTTAATTTACTTTTTGTACATTTCGCCATAGCTCTAGAACTTTTTAAAAAAGTTTAGAAATTTTACACACAATTATAAAAGTTGTTTATCCAAAGAAAATTCCATTCTAAAAAGTTTTTTAATTGCTTATTTATGGATTATTCATCATTTTATTTAATAATAGTTCAAGAAAATTTGAATTGTAACGTATTCAAAATTTTGCATCATTTCATAGAATGGCATTCATTAAGTAGCAGAATATAATATTTGAAGTAATTTCCTGAGAAATCGAGTTTTTATAATGATCAAAATAAGATATAAAAATGAAAAGGATGATCAATAATAATAATATTTTGTTTCATTGTAGTAAAAGTAAATTATTAAAGAATACTTTTTACATGTATCTTTGAATAAACAAATTTTATAATTGTGTAGAAATTTTTTAACTCGTTTAAAAAGTTCTCAAGATATGGCGAAAAACGTAAAATTAACATTAAAGGATCCTAACTTTCAAACTATTGGGATCATACTTTTAAGATTGCATATATTTTCCTTTAGAGGATTTAAGGGATCAGAAATCCATATCTGATGGGGAAAAAATGTATTTTTATTCTGAGAAAGTATTTTTATTTGTCTTATTTCGCAACTTAAAATAATGTATGAACTATTTAATTTTCATATTTGTATTTTATTTATATGAATTTAATTTAATTTATAAATGTCGTTGAGCAGCCGACCCTATTTTGAGTTTACGGCTACCAGTATTCAACTCCGCAGCCTTGTAATTTTGAACCCAATCCTGAAGATAAGGAAATTCCAGGATCAAGCATTGGGAGATATTTTGCATTCGTGGAGGACTTTTTTCGATAGAACTAACCCGTACTTGCTTTATATGGAGAGGAACACCGAGAAAACCTCCCATAGTTAGAGTGATGGCTAGGGGGCTCCAACCCATGATCACTGACGGTATTTTACGTCAGCACTGTGTTCGGTGCGACCTGGGTGCATAATTCGTATGGACCAGCCGTAGCTGGGGTTCAGACCCGGTTCACTGGTTCTATTACGTGAAAATCCGACCATTAGATGAAAAGTTATTCAAGGATTTTTTTTCCCGTTCTGTTTATTGTTAATCTTTTCCGGCTTCTTTAAGTATAAACTGAAGTACTTTTTTAAGCTGATTTTCTTCTTTTAAAGTAAACTGCATTTTCAACTTGTTTTAGTAAAATTCAGCATTCTCCTATAATTTTATAAGAGTTAGTCGATAAGGTATTCTTTGAAATATATTTACATGCAAAAGAAAAACTATTTTGTTTACATAATGTTTAGATAAACTAATGTTAAGATTCCTATATATCTTTGTCTTTGTATAAATTTTTTTAATTAAGCATAAAGTATTAAAAAAAATTTTAATGTTTTACATTTAATTATGAAGAAAGAAATCATTAAAAATAGTCTAATTTTCAGAATTATGTCTCTTGGAAATTATTCGTTCAAGTTATTTTAAATTCTTTATTTTTTTCATTTACGTTTACATTATTTAACACGTTATTGCAACATGTTTAGCATGTTACGCTGTCAAAAATTTTTTGCCTCAATTCCAAAATTATTTCACCTCGATTATAAAATAAAAAATAATAAATAGACAATAAAACTTTTTTTGCATAATATTATCTTCTTATTATTCTTCACTGGCGTGACAGCCCTGGGTGGGCCTTGGCCTTCTCTAGGAGTTTCCTTCAACTGTTCCTCTGTTTGGCGACTGTCCTCCAGTTTTCAAGATTTCTACTTAAGTGAATTAGTTTCATCTTGGTGACTCAGGTGAAAAAGCGTTAGCCTTCCACTGAGGTGAACCAAGTTCGAATCACAGCCATGGCTAGTCGATGCGAATTCCCCACCTGAATTGCACCGATCTTAGTACTGGCTTAAAATATCCTCAGTGATAGACGGATGATGTGCTTAAGTCCCCTTGCCGTCAGGCTAACTGATTTCCGTGGCTTTCCTCTCCATGCAGCGCAAATGTGGGTTAGATCCCTCAAAAAGTCCTTCACAAAGGCGAAATTCTCCCAATACTTGATCTAAGTGTTCCCTCGTCTTCTGGATTGGATTCAAATTTACAAGGCTATGGAGTTGAACATTAGTAATTGTAAACTCAGAATTGGGTCGGCAGTTCAACAACAGTTATAAATAAGATTATAGTATTATTTTGATAATGTTATCTAATTCAAGGAAAATTTATAATTGTATCCAGAAATTTATTAATATCTTATAATTTATATTAATATCTTTTTAATATTCTCCATCTGCTAATATTATTCGCAGCATTAAAAAATTCTACATAATGTAGGTTATATGTCTAATAGAGAAGAGGCTATATTCGCAATGCTTGCTGCTATTAGCGTTGGTGCTATATGGATTGGGATACTTCCAATGCTAGGAGCTCAGGTGGATATTTTTAGTTCTTTTATAAACTTTTTTGTAACTTTGTTAAAAAATTGCTGAAAAACTTACTATTTTCAAAATTTGTCATTCTCATCTGTTATTTTTATTCACGTTTTGCTATTTCCTTGAAATTTATACTTCATAGCCACCGAATTCTGATTAAAATTGCTAAAAAAATATCTTTGTTGATATAATTTTAAATATAATATAATTTTAAATATAATAATAAATGATGATATAACTTTAAATGCATTTTTTCGTAAAAATATTCCTGAAATCGAAAGTTTTAATTGACGTGCAATATAAAACGCACAGCTAAATATAAAACGCATACGCACAACTGACGTGCAATATATAACGCATACGCACAACTATAGAATTCATTTATTTAAGGATAATTCCATACAAAAGATAAATTTTAGTAAATATTTATAATTTTTAATTATTTTGCTTAATATTTAAAAAGTTTTTGAATCGATAGGTATACTATTTCTACATCATTTTAAATATCTAATTTTGCATGGAAAAATACAAAATATGAGTGAAATTGGTTGCAGAGTTCCATAAAAATCAAAATTTAAAAAAGTCGTATATTTGAAACTTGATTTCTCAGGAACTATACAACCGATTTTGCTCAAATTTTGTATTTTGCTAAATAAAATTAGATAATTTAACTGTATACCTAACAATTGAAAAAAATTTCGGCTATTTTTAAGTAAAATAATAAAAAAATAAATTAATGTTTACTGAAATTTATTTTTTGCGTAGAATTGTTTTTGGGTAAACGAATTCTATAATTGTGTGTAAAAATTGTTCACTTCGCCTAAAAAGTTCTCGAAATATAACGAAATTCACAAAAAGTAAAATTAATATTAAGGGGTCAAAACTTTGAGCCGATCTCCTGATCAAACTATTATGACCATATTCCCCAGATTACGGCTACCCTTATATCTTAGGGGTCAGAAATCTGAATCCGTCGAAAAAAGGTATGTTTATTCGGATAAAGTACGTTTTTGTGTCTTATTTTTTAACTTAAAATATCGCCAGCACAAAATAATTAGCATGCTTGAAATCACCCCCCGTCCTCCTTCAAACTATTAAGATTGAGTCTTGGAACGTGAAGATCCGATTATTAGTTCAAAAGCTATTCAGAGTGGTCCGTTTTTTTATGCACTGCAGAATTATTGAACTTTGTTATTAATTTTTTTTAACGGGTGCCAAATTAGACTTACCCAAAAGAAAAAAGCGTCGCCAAGTAAATATTTTTATTGCACTTTTTGAAAGATTTCATTTTTATGATTTTTTTACAGGGAAATATTTAATTATAATTGTTAAATTATTGACAATTATCTGATTTTTTTTCATCAGGCAGTGCTGGAGAGATTACAAATAGTGCGTCCCAAATATATTATATCAATCGACAAGATACGTTATGAGGAAAAGGATATTGACATGCTTCCTAAATTGAAATTCATATCTGAAGGTAAAATTATTCTAGTTATTATTATACAGACGAGTAAAGTAGACTATCCTCTACTAGAAAAAAAAATAAATACTTTATTTTAAATGTTATTATATTAGTTATTAACAATTTTTAACAGTCGTGTACTTGCTACAATTGTCCCCACTTATGGGGTCATATGTAACAGTTCAGAAATTCAACTAAAACATAGTTAATTATACATATTATCATAGTTGTGATATATTTTTTATTGATCAAAATAGTAGTGGCATTTTAGGAGAACAAATAATAATGAACAGAGACCTAAAGGGTTAAACTTTCAACTTTAAGTGGTTAAAAATTTTAATTTATGCTGTGAATGGTGACAAATAAAATAATGCACATGCAACATAATATAAATGGTATAGGAAACTATTGGTGGTTCTTAAAGCGTTAAGTAATGGTTTGTAAACATAAGATTATTTATTTTCAGCTGTTATAATCGTCCCTTTACTTATTGTTGCAATCGGCCCCACGACGCCATTTCAGCTTCATTTGTTAAAAACAATGCTAGTTAATTAACAAAACTAATCTTTTTTTTGAAATGTTAATTAAGGTGTCCACTTACATATTCGGTTA